ATAGAGATAAGAAACATGAGACAATTTAGCTGTTTCTCTCAATGGGTATTTATACACCTCAAATTGATGTTTTGTCTCAATGAACTTCCACATCTTGTTGAGATGTTTAATCATTTACTATCCTTAAAAAATCAATGATCTCATCATATTAATGATGAACATTGATCAACGACTTTCAATAAAATGTGAATGACTGTTCAATAAATTGTCTGAGTTGACTGAAGCTTGTTAGATCTAATTATAAGCTAAGAAAAGTTTGTTGTAAATAAGATTTACTAATGATAATTAGACTTTGAAATTAAATTAGAATCAAAAACATTATTAACTGAAAAATTAAACTAGTCAAGGTACAAATAAAGTTAAAAATAGCCAATAGAGATGGCGTTAACTGTTGATGGTTTAATTTCATTGCTTCTCATTCATATTCAGATTGAACGATAAGAAATCATGGCAAATCTGAAAGTTGCATCGAGTTAGGTGATCAAATCAAAGTTGAATCTTTAGTCTCTGGGTCTAGTATGTTTGGTTTTAAATGGCTGAGTAGTCGTACTTTATCATGAATCTTGATGATCGCTATTTACCGGTTTCACCAGTCTTTTTAAGCTTTTGAGCAAAACTATTATGAGAATGGAATAAACTTTTGTAATGAGAAATATTTCCTTTCTCCTTATCGGTTGTTTCCTCTGATTCTTGACTCGACCTAGAATTGCCTTTTTAAGGATGATTTCCCTAAATCCTAATAAGGATTTAACTCTCAACTTGATCTCTGTAATTATCTACATTCAAAACAGATCAGATTCATTCATAACAGAGTTCAGTTTCGAGTAAATATTGATAAACTCAGTTTCGCTACCTAATTCATTAGCCCCTTTAAAGTGTAACCTTTCATTTAAACGAATCGAAGTTGTTTTATTTGGCTTTAGCATTTTACATCATTTAAATTGTGTTCGTATCTTTCGTTAAAATTGTGGCAGCGGCGTGATAAAATCAGTGAAATTTTCAACTCTTTAAGTGTACAATGGATATCAATACACAACCAACGCAAACTACAATGCCTTTAGAAACTTTACTTGGTTTGATGAATCGTAGACAAATGCCAGTAACAATTTCACCGTTCATTGGCTACCCAAACGACCCCGAGGAGTGGTGTGATGAGTTCGAGGTAATAACAAACTTAGCAAACTGGGATGATGAAGTTCGTTTTTGTAAAGTTTCAAACTATCTTTCTCCTGACATACGGATATGGTTCAAATCACAACTTGAATCTGGAGTCTTCTCGGACTGGTCAAGTTTTAAAGCAACCTTCATCGCAACTTATCCAAATGAAGATAAGCAAAATTATATACATCGACTTGCTAAAACTTTACAGCGTGTTGATGAAGATCCATGCAATTATGCTACAAAAATGTATGCCATTGCTCAGAAAGGCAAAATTGCGTTTAAAGATTATGTTGCTTTTGTTATCTCTGGGCTACAACCAAGGTTAAGAGCAGAACTTACAGAAGAGTTAGTTGACACTATCAAAGACCTGTCTGAGCTGATGCAACATCTTCGTGAAGCCGCTAGAATCGTCAAGCTTCGACTTGAAGCATCATCAGCCCGATATCACGATTATCTACCACCAACTTATCCTGTGAATGCAGTACAAAACAGTGAACCTCAAAATTCAGTAGTTGATCTTATGGCAAAGCAAATAAAAGAATTACAAGACCAAATGAAGACAATAGTGGAAGCAATAGCTGTCAAACCATCTCGAAGAGATTAGACTAACATCACTTGTCTTTATTGAAAAAGATTGGCCATATTGAACGTGATTGCAAGCGAAAAGAAGCCGATCTTTCGAATGGAAATTTCCAAATGAGTTTAGCATTTCAACCCCCCACACCAGACACTCAGTACCCGTCATATCAGGTACCTTCTCAAATTGTCCAGTTAGCAAATCCGCCATCAATTCAACAGTCACAGAGCGTATACAGCAGTATTCCCAACCAGTGATAAATCAACCAAACATGCAGTCTGGAATGCGTTTCCAACCAAATAATTATCAACCCTTACAATCACAATTACCAAAGTAACTTTCGTTACACTTTTATTTCAATTAATTGATTTCTGTGTCATTTTTAAACTGTCGGTTTTTGTTGCTTTGAGCTAACAAGATTTAAAAGTAATAAAAAGATTACAAGATTGGTGAAAACCTTGATAATCATCTTTATGTTGATCTTTCCATGAATAATAAGCATTAAAAAATAAAGATTAATATTAATAAATGTGTGTTAATGTTAACTGATTGTTTCTTCGTCTTTGAAATCACAGCCTTTAATCCAAAATTACATCCTATTACTTACTTTTGTTTTGGTATAAAGTAATTGAACCTGACAATTCTAATCAAATTAATGGCAATCAAGACAAGCTTTATAATAATAATAGTTTACAATTGAAAATCCCAAGAAATCAACTGACAAAGGTGATTTGTTTACTCTGTTTCTGGATAAAATTGGGAAAATATCAATTCAGACTTTCCCAGTTAGAGGTAAGATAAGATTGTTTATTAATCATTGTATGCATAAGGTTTATATCGCATGACAATTAATGTTGATTTAGTTTGTTTCGATGTCATAGGAAAGCCTGAATTCACTAAAGGTTTTCAACTATTAACGTTATGCAAACGAAGACGACAATTTGCATTAATTTACATAAATTATTGAAACCAAATTTACCAGAAAATGAAACTCATTTCTCGTCATTACAGTCTCTAAATCATTCTGACGAAAGTAAAACTAAACTGAAATGGTGGATTGAATGTCAAGAATCAGCTTAAAGTCAAAGTTCAAGATTAAATGTCCTTTGACTTTTCTTTGTAATGTCATTGAATTGATTATCTTATTTAAAATTATCTTTGCGAGAAGCAAAGAAATGGTTCAGAGCTTGAAGCATTGAAAACGGTGAAAATTGAAAAATGAAATTGATCTCAAGATGTCGGACTGATAATTGGTTTTCAACACTTGGAAAGATCAGACGTAATCTAAAAGCTGAGCTCACCTCATAATACAAAAAGATATTTCAAATATGTGAAAAGATGTTCAAGAAAAGTGAAAAAGTGAAAAGAATTTTCAAAACTCATTGAGAAACATTTTCCTGAAAAGAGTTTGGAAATGTAAAGTGAACTTTAATGGAACCTTTCAGGAATCAAAACAGTAAAAGGCACAAAAATTCATGTGTTAGTCTAGTTTCATCAATTTTGTTTTCAAATAAATCAAGAAATGCCTTTCCTTTGAAATCAATCCAGAATTCAGTTATTATGGTTCAGATGGTATAATTAGCTCAACTCACTGTGTAACTTGACTTGTATTACATTAACTAATATAAGGAAAGTAATTCATATTATCTTAAATAATTTCCCATGCAAAGTTGTATAAATAAATGCATACAGGTTATATAATCCAACTGGTTTTGAATGATAGATTAATAATGAAGACAATTTGGTAATTAATAATAAAATTGTCATTTCCAATTTGCTAGAGGAATAAAGATTTATGTCCGGTTAAAGTGTTACAATTGAAAGTTCAATGGATATTTTAATGATTTCCAGTTGAGTTGATTAAGTTGTGATACAATAAAGAGTGAAAGTAAATAAAAATTATAAACAAAAAACTCATTGAACCCAGCATAGTAACAAAGTTGATTTAAAATGCAAAGCTTTGCTTGTATTTTTTGGTAATCTCACTATTGATCATTTGCATATTATCCATAAAATTATTATTGCACCGTTTTCAACCCATTTCATAGTTAATATGCTTAACAAGTTGGAAAGTCCAGGAGGAAAACTCGCCTTTCATGTTAACTTTGCCAGGTCCAAGTGAGAGTAATTAACCACAGAAACCAATGAGTTCAACGTTTAACCAAAGTAAAGTGTCTTTCAAGTCTTGGGTTATCTTTAATTTGGCCAACTTGTCCATTGTTTAGATTGAATAAGATATACAATGAATGAACCAGTTGCTGAATTAATCTCGCCAATTCTTCTGCTCCATGAGATAGAAAAATATGTTGAAAAGTTGCAAGTGAATTCATTAACCAAAATGACAACGAATTTTTCAAGTCAGGTAAAATGTTGGCTACATCATCAGGCAAAGATGGTCAAGGGTTGATGTCCAGTTGAAAATGAATGCATTGTTGCATGAGAGATGTTAATTCCAATGGAATGATCAAATTTAAATTGTGAGATCAAACCTTGTCATGAGAAAATTAAATTTACTCAACTTGAAAACTCCATTAGTTGTTTAATGATGAAAATTTTCACAAACACTAATCATTTGTTTAGTCAAACAATGTTACATAAATAAATGCTATTTGATATTTTTCAATAATCACTCTCAACTACTGTTATGGTTAATGTTATCATGTTATCATCATTATTGTTAATGTTTTTGCAATTTTGAAACACTGATTTGTTTATTAAACCACCATTAAGGTTCATCAGATGATATGTAATTTGCTTTTGTATGATATAATTGGCAATTTTGGGTACTTCAGGTTCACTTGAAGCAGGTTTATTCATTCAAATCAGTGTTTTGAGTTAATATTTTTGTTCATTTTGTAACGTTTCCAAAATCAATCATCTTAAATACTTGTTCGCGCTATGGGGTGCTAGGCAATGATCTCACGATGTGGTTGACGTTACTTGGATCACTTAAAGTCATGTGAAAAGATAGAAAGGAAAGAATAGGTGGAAGAAGTGAGAAAAAGAGAGTGAGAAAGGCGGAAAGATGAGGATGAGGAATGAAGATGGCGATAGAAAGAAAAAAGTCAAGGAATGAGAGCGTGAGAAAAGCGCATAACCGCCAATTTAAAAGCGAGAGTGGCGCTTTATGAATGTTTGTTTGAAAATATAGTTATGAATATATTGGAAGATTCATCTACGTCTCTCACTTTGTTCAATGGATTTCCCTTTTTCACTGAGAAAAACAATGGCGATGCAAGAGAAAGAAAAAAATTTACAACGATTTTCTTGAAAACTTGTTTTATTACCTCATGAATTATCTTGAAAAGCAAATCCAAATTCATGATGGTGATATTAATCTTTAACCATGATAAAACATTCTGCAAAAAGTATCACTTTTTGATAATCCACTTGTTTGCTTTGCTTTCAGTGTTTCCCATTCACTATGCGAATCTTTTGTATTTTCATCGGGATGGGTTGAGACCAGAATAAATCGACACAGTTTTACAAAATTTTATGCATAAGTTTGAGGCGTAATTGCTTTTGTTCATTATATTTAGCTTTTATTTTCCCATTAGTTGTTTGTTTCACTCGGCTTGGGTTTTATTCCACAGGTACAAATGTTTTCAGACTTAAATATATTTTTGTTCATCAGGTACAAAAAATTTCCAGGAAGATATCTTGACTAATATTTCTAGTCAATAGAGATGGTTTCTTGAAGATATGATCATGTGTTTTTGGTGTCATGATGAAGTTTCTTTTTAACCAAGCCGCAAAGCTTTTTAAAACAAAAGGTTTATAGTTGACCGTAAGATTGGTGAGATGAGAGGAAAAGATGTCAGGATTTGTATTTGGGAAAGGATTAGGGAAGCACATTTTGTAAGGAATGATGAGAAAGATGATAAAATTAATTAGCGAGAGAGATAGAGGATAAAGTGCAATAGAAATGCCATGGTGCAAGTTTTTTTTGATGAGTTGATAGGAAGGTACAGAATTGTTTAAATGCATAAAAAATTGGCTGATTGGTACTTTAATTTTGTTCCTATTCACCGAATGAATGAAGTTGATTTTGGTTCCAAAGTTGAATACAAGTGAGCTCCACTTTGATGTGTTGGTTTGATGAACAAATGGGGTGACAGGTATTTAGGGTGACATTTGATGAATATGATGAAGAATCACAAGGATGACGATTATGTAAAGATGATAAAAATGAAGTTAGAGATCGAAGCATACTTTGTTGCCATTTTGGTTCAAATTCACGTTGCATACGGACATCGACAGGATAAAAAGGGGCACCAAATACGATTCAAGGTGATGATGACTGTGACGGGGAAAGCAAAAAATAGGGTTACCAAAAATTGTTTACTTTAATGTTAATAACAAATTTATTCAGCACTGAGCAATAGGATTCTCAACAATATGCACCTCTCCAGAATGACGACCGTTAATCGGTTGATCCAGTTGATTGAAGGAGTTTTTTCTGGACGACGAATTGCTGTCCCTTCCATCTGAATTGAGACTCATTTTACGTAGAGATGAACGACGTCTTTCAAATAATGTTAAAGCATATCCTAACCCCTGAATGAACAGTCTCAGTGCTTCAGCCACCTTTCCAGGTTGCTCTTCCAGTGCCATACCACTATCAGATAGCTTCATCCAGGTTGAATTTTCTGGATTCAATCGAGAGTTCATGGCAACTGTATCATCAACATGGGGCGACAAATTAGCACATAATAAGAGAACTGAGCATCTAAAGTTTTTCTCTTTATCTCCTCGAACAATACCCAAATCGGTGCGGCGAATGTAAGAATCAAGAAAGAGAGAAAGATTCCTAGGGTTAATGGATTGACCAGAGAAATATTTACGGTAAACTTCAATCAGATCTCTATTGCGATCTTCAGTGATTCGTCCAAAATGGTACCAAAGAAGATAGTCTTGAACAGATTGTGGAAATGTAGTTCCAGCAACCAAAGTTGCACTATTCAGATAATAAATATTCATCTTCTGGTAAATGTATTCAGACCAGGATGATTGAGAAGCTGAACTATTTACAAGGAAAAGACCATCAACATAACTAGGATTTCTCAAGGCGAATCGGGATAAAATGTTAGCTCCAGCACCGACACCGAAACCAATGAAATTTTTGATTCCATAAAATTTGCAAACAGCTTCTATCTGTTCAGCCAATTGATCCATAGTTGGGTAAATAAACGATTCAGGCAGAGGAGCAGCATTTTCTTCCTGTCCAGGAGCATTGATATGAATCACTAAGAATGGGAAACAGTTAGGAAGAGGAAAGTGGAAGAGAAAAAAAGGAAACATCAAGTTTCAATCAATATTAATCTAAAAATTTATCCCCAGACTGAATTTCATAATTCAATTATATTGAAGCTAACGTTTAACAGCATAAATAATTTAATTTTTGTCTTCTATTCTCATTGTTGGATTTACTTTTTTTAATATTTCCTGTTGTTTCAAAACGCTTTTTTCAACCTAATATGACATTACTAAATTTCAGCTAATAAGATTACATTGATCATCATGACAGGCCGACAAAATGTTGAAGACTAGGAGATGATTAAATTATCTTTTTAACTAGGTTAAATAGATGATATTGGCAATCGATTGAACACATGAGGAAAATAATGATTGTTTTTTGTCACCAGATTTCTCTCAATTACCTAGTCTAGGAAATTTAATTGATCGATCAGTTTAGCTTTGTATGTGACAATAATAATTAACAAAGAAACGTAAAATTGACAATTAGCTAACCAGACAGGCCTTATTAGCTAAAGATACAAACAATACTCAGCAAGTTAATGTGAAACTCAACAAAGACGCAATAATGTTTATTGGTATGATTACTCGACAATATATTATCAATTATGAGAAATATGAATAAAAATCTGTCTACAGTTTGATTGTACTTAAGCAATAAAATTCTTGAGAAACCGCTATTCACCAGTAATTACCCACTTTCTACCTGAAAGCAATAAATTTGTTTTAAAACTAAAGACAGGTTGTTTTACTATAATTGAAAACAACAATAATTTTTTACGTAAAATTTAATGCTTCATCATGATCTTTCCCTATCATATTATGTCAAACTGAGTAAAATCAATTATAACTGAAAACACTAACAGTAGAAGGTGGTCTTTGATAGTAATATTGACACTAATTTGATTTACTGATGACAAGCGGTAATGTATTTCAATGTAATGAGTAAGCCAACTGAAAGTTACAATTTTAGCTCTAGAGAACAAAATAACAAAATTCAGAATTCACAACCTAAAAGATGGAATATTTTTGTGATGAAAATGATAAACACTTTCCGCAAAGACTTTCAGATTTCCTATCGGATAATACTGCATACAAAATTAAAATCACACACTGCAACTATTAAAAAAGGCTAACTCGGGTGGCTCAGATAAAAATTAAGTCAAGGTAGATTTTGAGGTAATAACTATTAAAAGGTAATGTTGGTTTGGTTGGCAAGAAACTTACAGGTAAAACTTTGCAAGAGCAGCCTCATATCCATGTAATTAAAGAAAGCTTGGAAATTGGAGACATGGTTTAATCCAATATCGTGGTAAGTCAAGATAACTGGTTTATTCTGTTTTTGATCGGCTCCTTGCTTGGCAACCAAAATGGTTCCATAATGAGTCTCAATTTGATCCAAGGTGTAACTATCATCATCAGAAGCCAAACTTCGAATCAAAGGTGATGTAGCTTGAACATTTAACAATTCAATGTCCATCTTAAAGTGTCAACAGAGTTTAATATTCGATGAACCAACAAATTTTAAATTTATTTCTCACCAGACCAACTAATAAAGGTGAAAAAACTGTAAAAAGAAGAGAAAATAGAAAGCTATTAGGCTACAGTTGACATGGCAAGGGTTAAGTTTATGTTGGGTTTGTTTCCCACAGTATGATTTGTATCTCATGAGTAGTCAGAAGATGAGAAAAAAACTTGGATATCAACCAGACTATGAGACTAAATCAATATCAAATCAAGAAAGACAAGAATATGCGGAGTAATTAAAAATAAAAAATCAACAATAAGCAAAGGAAATAAACAATAAAACAAGGAGAAGCAAGGTGAAGATCTAAACAGCAAAGACAATGAGACTTACCAAAAAAAAGTAGCAAGGAAAAGCTGATCAGTGACACCAGGAATAAAAATGTGGTAAAATCTGGTGATGATTTTGATGAAATTGATGATGAATGGATATAATTATGATAATTGGAGTGACATGAAAAAAATAGACAACAAATAAGTATTTATAAAAAAAAGTACAGCAAAATATAGCAATTAATAAAATTAAACAACTGCGAAAAATAAACTGACAAGAAAACCAAGATCACTCAGTTAACAGACAGAGACACTCTCAAAGAAGCACTCTCTAATTCAAATAAAGAAGAGAAGAAAGAGAAAGAGACAGAGATAGAGACAGGAGACTAGGAGGAGAAAAAGCAAGAGAAAAAGATGCAAAAGAAGAAAGAGAAAAAGAAAGAGATCCTGTTGTTACATCGATGAATTTTTTGCTAAGAGGAATATTTTTCTAATAAAGAATAAATATTTATGGGAAAACCGGTTATTATGCATTTCTTTCAATGTTATACTTTCTGTTATTTAGTACAATTAGAAGCCTAACCCATGACCTTTTACTTGTCGATCCTTTTCTTATAAAAACTTATATTCTCACAAGAAAAAGAGAGAGAGAGAGACTTATTTTGTTCCTTTCTCATCCTTTTCTATTTCTTGTCTTCCTAAATTCCTCTTCTTTTCTCCTAGTCTTAACAGGTCTCACTGTTTTCTTCCGTTTTTTTTCTCGGCCCATTTTGAAGCCTTTTTCAACTGTGAAAGAAAGTGGACAATAATTTGCCCAAGGCGATGAACATTTAATGGTCAAGCCTAAAATAAGGCACAAAAATGAGGATAAAGGCGGACAAAAGAAGTAGAAAGTAGCCTAGGAATTTCGGTAGAATGTACTGTGATTGAATATTGATTGAAAACCAGAACAACAGTTGAATGCAATATCTGACCAGATCAGTAGTTTATAAACTATGTTACTGGTTCATCGATAAGATTATTCATCCATAATTAGCTGATTAAAACTTACAAGTAGATTGTCAATATGAGGATAAAAAATATGAATGAGAGTTGAGACTTAATCTCAGGAAAACGTAAAATCTTAAGATCTTGGGTATGATTTTGCTTCAACAGTTTCCTTGTTACTATCATCTATCTGATTTTCAATTAAATACCATGGCAACTGTTTAATCAGTGATCAAAATTGGGTAATCGATTAGGTGGTGTTAATTTAAAAAGTAGAAAAGAAACTGACATAGATTGTAATAGTTTGAATAAATCATCTCAAGTTTTTTCAGTTGATTTTCAAGTAAAAGTTTCACTTTTTCTCTCAATGGTCGTTGACTTGACTTACCTTGTTTGATCATTTGGATTATCGCTTTTCCTCTATCTCCCTCTCTATATCTCAATGAGATTAAAATTGCTTAATTGTTACTGTTGCACTGTTCCACATTATTGGCTTTCCACAAATGTTGTTTACAAGTTATAAGATACGTTAAAGATTCATGAAGTCCATAAAAAGCTGCTAGATGAATTGGATGCCAACCATCTTTATTGGATAAATCTGGATTAGCTCCATTATTAACTAATTGCTGGCACCATCTTACATCTCGTCCAAGTAATAAACAATGGTGAAGAGCTGTTTGACCATTAATGAAAACATTAAGATCAGGTTTGGTACTTAATAATAACAGTAGTTCATCATAGTCACCCTTTTTGATGACGGATAACAATTTTCTAGCATTATTTTGATCACAGTTAACTTTTTCACTTTTCACTTTCATATTGACGTATTGTAAGTACATAAAGTTAAACGATGTTGTTGGGACCGAACCGGCTTTAACACCAGGTCTTAACAAAAACAAGTCAAGTTTACAGCACAAAGTTTTAACTTCAAGTCCGACTTCTCGTTTGAAAAAACTGTTTTTCAAAAAGTAACATCGACTGACTTTGAGTGAGAAAGTGAGCTTAGCGCCATCAAGCGGACCAATCGGTAACCTTTGCCCAAATTTGTTTTGACCATTTTGGTATTTTTAACTATAGTTTGGTATTTCCATTAAATTATCAATCAGGATATTTCAACCATCGATCATTGGAATTCAGATATCTTCTTTTTTCATCATTTTCCAATTCTGTAAGTCTCAATCCAACTTCTTAATCTACTCTTTTACCTCCAACCTTAAGGTTTGAGTTGAAAAGCTAATCTTATGTCGACTAGAATCCTAACAAAAGATTCAACATGACTAAATGCTGTTATAACGAAAATATGTTTACCGTTTTAAATCATTACAAATAATCTTGAAAATCTATCTAATTAGTTATGCAAATGCATTTCTCAAAGTATACTTAAAGTATCCTTAAAATTTGAATGCAGATTTGAACTCTTAGCCTTGGCGGTTAAACTCTTTTGGGTCTTTGTCTTACCTAAAAATGTTGCTAACCATTTCTAAATATTCAATCTTTTGTTTCTTGCTTTATTGATCATAGTTCACCGAAAGGTTGGCAATGGAAGACCCTTTTGTCATCGATAATAATTTCAACCTTGCTTCAAACTCAACTACATCAAACAGTTCATTTTAACAATAGGTGAGATCAATATTTTAGTCTTAACTTGAATTTTTTCAGACGCAAGTCTATCACTAAAAATAACTGAAATGGCCAAGATTTTTTAAATTCAAATAATTGCTTTGTTTTTGCTCTAACATCTTGATTAATATCTTGAAAAATTGTTGAACGAAACAAAGGATTTTACAAGACAAAATCAAAATTGGGTTTAATTGGGTTTAGGTTTGATTGGAAATTATTATCAAAAAAAGTCTAGAATAGCATCAATTTGCTGCAATTTTTTCCCATCAACTCTTCAAATTTTGTTAAATTGCTGGTTAATTGATCAACTAGATTCCCATGGTTTGGTACTAATTTTGCCAATGATGCCAATCCATTTGCAAAAATATTGGGAAAATCAGTATAATTGCAATTTGTTTACCATTTTCAAGTTGAATAAGCAAAAACACTTTTCATACTTCATTCCAATGGGAATTTCTAGATTTATATTTGTTCAGCAATCAGTTAATCACAATGTTTGTACCATTTTCAGCATAAAAAGAGTCGTAAATAACGTCTACGGTTCTGTAGACTGAATTAACAATTGTTTAGACTGAAAACAAGATAAATATTGAGATTTAGATGAATTTATCCGCCAGAAATGAAGCTTGGATCATTGAGTTGCTTTTCACCTAAATTGATTTATTTTGCTTATTTCCAATAACTGCACACCAAGCTTCATTAATGATGATTAAAAATCGTTTGTTTTATTTCAACAATCCCGGCCTTTAGTGATACCTTTGATTAATGTTTACTTTATTAACGAGAAACTAATATTGCTTTATTGGTATCAAATTCAGGTTAATTTGGAGATTTATTGGACTTTCATTTTCAATTAACCGTATTTTCCAATCAACATCCACCCAATCAATCCAATCAGACCAACATTGAAAGGGAAAGACTCTAACCTGGCTGTTTACACTGTTGAAGGATTCAAGTTTCAAGTTTAATGGTTAATGGAGGCACAGCTGATTCCAATTAGATACTTGATCTTTAATTGTTTAATCTCACAGTTGAAGCAAATGAATAATACTTGCCAATGTTTACTTTGGACTAATTAAATTGCTGTTTATCGTTCCTGTTGGCTTATTAACCAACAATCAATATGATGGCCTAAACGATGGAGTAAAAAATGAACTTAACCTTAACTCGCCGGGAAAAGGTAAAGAAAAGGTTACCCATGACCTTTACCTTCTCAATCTTTTCTTATAATAAAAAAAAGTTATATCTTTTCTCACAGGAAAAAAAAGAGAAAGAGAGAGACTTTTTTTTCCTTTCTCATCATCCTTTTAAGCTATTCTTTACCATCATCTAACCTCAACAGGTCACTCTGTCTTCTTCCGTTTACCGATTTATTTTGAGCATTTTTGGTCATTGGAACAAAAAAAGGTTGGTCAACTGTGGACAAAAAATGGTCAAATCTGGAGAAGCGTTGAAAATGGTAGAGTCAAAGAGCGATGGAAACATGTATTGAAAGAGTGGAGCTGATTAGAGGATTTGATATTTACAAGTGCATTGGATCAGTTGGTCATCAAGGGATTATTAAATTGTGCTGATGATCGCATTGAACAAGTGTTTGCAAGTCGAAACAAGTGACTGTTGAAATGTTTTCATCTTTTCAAATCAATCATATTTGACTCTATGGGATGAATAGTCATGAATCCCACGATTATATTTGTTAGATCACTTAAAATCATGTGAGAAGAGATGAAGATGATAGGGAAGGAGGAATAGGTGGAGGATGAGAGTAAGTGTAAGAGAAAGAGAAAAAGAAAGAGCCAAGAGAGCGACGGAAGATGAGGATAAAGATGAAGATGACGATAGAGAAAGCAAAGGAATGAGAGCGTGAGAAAAGCGCATAACCAGCAATTTAAAAACGAGAGTAGCGCTTTTATCAAATATTGGTCAAGTTATGTGTGCTGTTGGGTGTATCACATCATAAAGATTCACCTATGAACCTCACCTAAGTAGGTTTCACTTGTTCACTGTCAACTCACATTAACATACAATTTTGGCTAAACTCGACGACCCAAAGGACCATGAGAAGGATAGCAAACCATTAAACTCGAAGTTGAAAGGATCAACAGACACAATTGCCGTGCATCTTTACAACCCTGAGGACATCATATATGGACAGAGGTCAATGTTCATCTTGAATAACCCAGAGAAGAGTCTCACAGAATTTCATTTCATTTCATTTTCCTGTGTGATAGATTCCAAGTATTTCCATGCGAACTCATCTCTGTTTGATTCACTTAAGACTTTCTGTGGTCAAGGATAAATTAAAGACATTATTAGTGTGTTGTCATTTTAACTGAGATTCAATTGAAACTCCCTTCCCACCAAATTCATTATAATCATCATCATCATCATCATCATCATCGTCTTCTCTTCTCTTCTTGCTCTTCATCTCATTCCCGTGGCTATTTACGCTTCCCAGACTTTGATAATGTTCACATGAAGCATAATTTTTTCTTTCACACCAATCAAAATAATCATTTTTTCACTCTTATTAATAATCATAATCATAATAATCAATTCACACTTTAATGAGAAGTTCATTTCATAAGATCTTTAACGTTGGTAAATTTAATTGTATGGATCTGTCTTATTAAATTGCAATAAAAGTCACTTGTTTGAGCATTTTAATAAGGATTTGTCAATGATTATTTTGTATCAACCAAACTGATATTGTTCATTTTGTTAATTCGTGAATTTGATCTTTTTATAGTTACATATTAGATAAGCCATTTGAGCTTTGAATAAACAAGAGTCGTATTACAATTTTGCATCTACATTATTATTCACCAAGATTAACATTTGAACTGAATGCAAATAAAATTGGGAAATATGCATTTCCATGAAAATATAATAATTATATTCAACAAATTCCTATCTGTCAAATGTGTGTTCATGTCAAATTGCGTTGACAGTGCAAATGCTAATTGAATAAGGAGAAAATACTTTTCATTTGTTTTAATTATGCATTAATTTTCACCAGATTATCCACTCAGATTCATGTTTTATATGAATTTTTTCTATTCATTTATTATTCTCACGAGAATCCGTTAATCTCTTTCCCTTTCTTCCTTTTCATCCTCATCATCATCCACATCATCATCGTCTTCATCTCTCCTTCTCTCTCCTCTCCTCTCACCCATCGGTCCGTGAAGTTATATCCGTGTTCACTATTATTACTGTTATTGTATTACTAACAAGTCTTTACATACTATAATAAAAATATCAATAAATAAACTCATAAAAAGCAGGTAAAAATGTTAATCAACCAATACAAAACATGATAATTTTCACTTGTCTTCATTTTTGTTCAGGTTTCTTCTTAACTCTAAATCCTTTTATAATCTCCTTAACTAATAAGCTAAAACAATTGAAAATTATGATATAATACTAAATATCATCTAATCTTACCCTTAATAAATCGGTTGATGGATTGATTCTTCGAGTTAAATTAAAGTCTTCTCAGTATATTAGCAATTAAAACAATCATGAGAATCTACATGATCATTACTAGACTTTGAATATTTAACAAAATTGTTTGTGGTTGTGACAAGATTGGCTCTCACACTCATCTATTTATCCAAGCGTAACCCAAACAATATTAAAGTATTAATAGAAGGATCGATGAGAGACTAATCAGGGTTAACAATCACATTAAGTACAATTACAGTTGAGAAATTAAACCTTCTTTGATTCTCATAAACGTCTAGCCAATTCTTGGAGATTAATTTGTGAATTATTTTCCACGTTTCTTTTTGATAATTTGCAATTATATAATTTTCATGAACGATAGTGAACCAACTAATTGTACTTCTGAGAATCGAGAGTGTAAAAAGTATAACTTTATAGCAATACAATTATACAATCAACAAGATTTTAGTTGCTTGTACAAAGTCAAGACTAAAATTGTCCCATAAGAACAGTGAATATGTTTTCTCATGAGATTTCTCTGAATTGCTTTTCAACTCATTTTCATGGGTTGATTACATTTGTGCAACAATGGTCCACCAATGTCATTACCATTGTTAAATCTATCACTAATTAAATAATAGAAACAAGTTCTCACAGAAGTCGCCAACAGTTGACTTATTTATATTCAATTATAAAATATAAATTTATAAATGTTTCTAATTAAATAATGTTATCCAAATACAGGCGGACTTGACTTTATGGTTGTTCCAGGAGCAGCTTTTGGACCTGATTGCTCTAGATTAGGACATGGTTCAGGATATTATGATCATTACTTTGCTCGATATAAGCTAAGCCTCCATATCTTTGGTATGTGTGTATGGGCAGGCGTTTGATGCAAAAATAACAAATAAAAGATGCAATTCCAATGGGTAATCAGATGAATCGACCATTTTTTCCCAGCAGCAAGTTGTCCTTTGAATTCAGTTTCTCATTGATTTCATTTCTTGCTCTATCCAAAGGCTATTGCTTTCACCAATGCCAAGTCTAATTTGACCCTCAGACTTCATTCAGATTTGAATCACTCAAGTAATCCACCTTCAATCTTGATTCTGCTGATAAAGATACAAAATTAATTTAAAAGTTAATGCATAACAGTTAGACATTTGATGAGGTTTTGCATTTTGAAGTGAAACAGTGAAATGAAAGTTGTGAGAAGAGGTTTCAGTTTCCTGCCAAAAGAGATGCAGCAAAGTTTCGATATTGTGGCAATAAGTTTTTACAAATACTGGTTACAAGTTATTTAATTAATCTGATTCTCAGAAAAGCTACAAGTTCTATGGGAAAAAATTCACTTCAAGATGAAGCAAAAAAACCTTGTGAATTTGATGGCAAGCAAAGGAGCCGTAGTAAGAATGAAGGCAAAAAAGAAAGAATAAGATGATGATGAGAAATAAGAAGACGAATATGAAGAGGAAAAATAGAGAAAAGAAAGCAGAGGGCGAAGAAAAGAGAAGGAGAAGAAGAAGAAGAAGAAGAAGAAGAAGAAGAAGAAGAAGAAGAAGAAGAAGAAGAAGATGGTGATGAGAATAGACGAGGGTGAGAAGGCATAAGAAGGTTGAGAGGGAGGCGCGGCACACTCACATAGTTTTATTGAATGGGATAGGCGAACGGCCAAGGCGGTTGGTTCAGCGGTATACTATTGCTGCACGTTGCGTTCCGTTGATATCTATGAGAAGATGGAAAAGAAAGAAAAGAAAGTCAGGTTGAAGGGAAACATTTTCACTGACAATAATGCTAAATATAAAGATTGCCTTTGACTTACCTCGGCCTTTCAGAAGAGTAGGAGAAAGAGTAATAGTATTTTGTTTGGTGTTGCTGCTGCTGTTGGCCAAATTTCCTGTGAGACATGGAACTCGATTACCATCTCACAATCAAAAGTAACTTTACTTGGGAGTAATTTGCATCCGATTCTCATGTACATTTTCACTTACCCTTGTTATTAGAATCACACACAATTTAAATTCACTCAACACTTCAATTTACACGTTTATAGTATCAGGCCTGAGCATTATTTTTCTGCCTTTTCCTTGTTTCACTCACTGTTTGTTTGTTTTCCAATATTTGGATAAATTTCACTTCAACTTGGACCACTTTTGTTCATTTAATTCACATAATAATTATCATTGTCATCAACAATTTAAACAAATTTAGGGCTAAGATGCATAAATGAAAACCATTGCACCAACAGACAAGTCTGTTTAACTGCTGATGCAAAGCCTATTGTTTAGCTTGAAAGACAAATAATGTTGCCATCTTTGGTAAAATTAGTGTCATCAATGTGATATATGTTTAACTTAATATTGCAATGAGAAATTCAACAATTAAAAATTATAAACAAAGCACTAACTAAATAAACGGATAATAAATTATCTTTGTTTAAACTCCTTTATCGAACCCTTTAAGGCGCAAAAATGGGTCAATATTGAGTGACCACTGATCCAAAAGTATGAAGCAGTTTAAATCATCAATGAGCTGGTTTGCTTAAATAGCAATTTTTATAATCGAGACTTTTTGGCTAGCCTGTTTAGTTGCTGAAACAAGAACTTTCTTGATCCTTGGTTCATTCAACAAGGCTATTTATTATGCCTGTCCCAGTGACCTGTTGCCTCCTAACTACTTCACATGTTCCTTCTGACTTCAACTGACCCTTATGGTCAAGCAATTCTATGCTCAAGTAATTTTCCAGCCCTTCCCAGACTATTCTAATTAGTTGATTCTACGATTTATTTACTGCAATTTACAACATTGTATTGCATTGCTTAGTGTTTTTTGGTTCAATATTTTCGTTTACTTAACCAAAATTTTTTTATTATTATGTAACAATCATTCAATTTTGTTTTATCGTGATTTATAACATTTGAAGTCTATTAATTGTAACTAATTAAATTGTGTTGTTGGTTAAAGTGATTAATTAAAATTAATTATAATGATTAGTTGATTAAATGCTTAATTAACATTAAACAACCATCAATGCAAATATCTTTCACATTATTGACATGATCGATCGCAATGAGTTTGGTCTATCACGAAGAAAATAGATGTAAGTTGGTGTTAGAACTTTGATCTGAGGTTTTGGTGGATCCAGTTTGCCTTTTAATAGCATAATAATGTACTCTAAAAAGTCAATGAACGATATTCCCAACCAAATACCAAAGCAAGAAGCGACAAAACAAAAGTACTCAATCTTATCCATTTTTGGTACATAAATATAAGTAAATTCAACCTCGGATGGTCGGCGAACCACAATTCGAGTTAAATTGGAGAGATCAGTCTGTTTTTGCACCGAAACCAAAGTTGTTGTATACCAAAGGTTTAAACATTGATTTGGACAAATGTCTTTCTGGGCACATTCGTCTTTCTTTTCCCTGCCATAATCACACTGACCATCAGGTGAAATAAAGTAAAAGTTTCCCCAAGTATCGGCTGGAACTGATGCAGGCCAAACCCCACATCGTTCCCTTGCATTGTCTTTGAGACACTTAAAGATACATCCAGTTCTTCCATAAAGCTCATTGTCATAAGTTTCACAGCCAGTTCGGTATGGAGGCGGTAAAAGCTTGGTTATGAGCTTAGACGAAGAAAGGACCAACGCTGCAGTTGAGTTTGTATGAAAGGTGAAGGTATCAGCATCGCTCACCAAGAGTACCTCAATGGGATTGTGGACAAAAATCGAGACGGAATTGTTTTGATCCGAAATTAAATCAACGGTGAAAAAGTCTTTAGCATTGGCGTAGTGAACAACAAATGGTTCGGTTGTTGCATTGCGAAAAAAATAGGTGAAACATTTGCGTAAGTTGATTCCTTCGGTAAAGTGAATTGTTACCAAAACAGGAGAATAATTTTCACACTCGAAACCCTTTTCAGGATCAAGTTTGGGCAATTCGTAAGTGTTGTTTGGAACCGTACAGTTTATCTTCACTTTGGATGTTGGCAGTTGATACAAAATGTGAAATGGTATTGAAGCTAAACTGGAAGGGATCGACTCTGGTGGGGAGTAAAATTTTGACAACACTTTTTTATCGTAAAGTATATGAAGACAGACACTTATTGCTGGCATTGAAAGTCTTGATGGAACAGTAATGTTGATATCGACTCGAGTTGTGTATTCAAAATAAATCTTAGAAACGGACACAATTTGCCAGATTACACCTGAGCTGCACAAGATCCAACTCGACACTCGAAGGATGGTTAATGGACGCAACCAACTGGGCACAATTAAACCAGGTGAACCAGGAGTTATATTAATATTTTCAGGTCTTTTATTTGCTCCCATTATTCAATAACACAACATTGCTTCTGTTCAAAAGATCAACAATTTAATCAACAATTTTGTTTCATTTCGGGTTACATTTAAACAACGATTCAACACTTAGGTTGGTCAACGAAGTGTTTAGACTAATTGTTGCACCAGAAATACATTCAATTGTAGAGATTGATTTTTTATGGGAAAAACATGTAAAAGCAAAAGGAAGATTCGCTTTCATTGCAAACACTTTGATATTTTTAAATATTATTTTTCTCATTTTTATTACATTTGTTATTCATTATTGCGAACCCAACTGCGAACCTTTTGATTGATTTTTCAATTCATTGTGATGAACCTGCAAGTGAATAGCATTCAATCGATACACTGATTTAAAGAAACAAAACATCTTTTAATATTTTATCCAAGATGTTCCACTTATTCAGCGATTGCAGTAAATTGTAGTTTTACTCAGAAATGAAAAATTAAAATTCTGATCATAATTTTACTAATTATATTTAGGCTTCTGATTGGTGAAATTTTCAATGGAACTCTTTGAATTTTCTAAGATTTGGGAATTGTGTGAATGATATTTCAAGAAATTGGTTTGTTTACAGTTTAAGTTTATAATGAATTTTATTGATCAAGAATTATTTCAAAGGTTGAATGTTTACAATAGACAGTTGTTTAGGATCAATACACAATTTGTTTGCTTGATGTTTGTGTTATTTTACAATGGACATTAAATTTTGAGCGCTTTTACAGGTGAAAAAATGATACAACGTTAATTTTAATTGCATACATCTTATGTGAAAATATTCATTATTTAACCATTTTCAGAGAGTCATAAATAAGCTGGAAAAATATTTTCCCTGATAATTTTTCCCATTCAACTAATTGGTAAACAAAATAGTCATAATTATTCCCATTTTAACGTTAATGTTAATCTTGAATAACCCAGAGAAGAGTCTCACAGAATTTCATTTCATTTCATTTTCTTGTGTGATAGATTCCAAGTATTTCCATGCGAACTCATCTCTGTTTGATTCACTTAAGACTTTCTGTGGTCAAGGATAAATTAAAGACATTATTAGTGTGTTGTCATTTTAACTGAGATTCAATTGAAACTCCCTTCCCACCAAATTCATTATAATCATCATCATCATCATCATCATCTTCTTTCTCTTCTCTTCTCTTCTTGCTCTTCATCTCATTCCCGTGGCTATTTACGCTTCCCAGACTTTGATAATGTTCACATGAAGCATAATTTTTTCTTTCACACCAATCAAAATAATCATTTTTTCACTCTTATTAATAATCATAATCATAATAATCAATTCACACTTTAATGAGAAGTTCATTTCATAAGATCTTTAACGTTGGTAAATTTAATTGTATGGATCTGTCTTATTAAATTGCAATAAAAGTCACTTGTTTGAGCATTTTAATAAGGATTTGTCAATGGTTATTTTGTATCAAACAAACTGATATTGTTCATTTTGTTAATTCGTGAATTTGATCTTTTTATAGTTCAATATTAGATTAGCCATTTGAGATTTGAATAAACAAGAGTCGTATTACAATTTTGCTATTACATTATTATTCACCAAGATTAACATTTGAACTGAATGCAAATAAAACTGGGAAATATGTATTTCCATGAAAATAATTATTCTGATATTGAACAAATTCCTGTGCATCATAGCGAATCGCGTCAATCGAACTGATATTGTCCTTCTTGATCTTTTATGTTTTAATTCGTAAACTTTATCTTTTTATAGTTCAATATCAGACTAGCCATTTGAGCTTTGTTACCAAATGAATAAACAGGAGTCATATTACACCATTGTTGGGTAAATTTGTCAGCCTTTTGATCACAATCCTCGTTTCGGTAGCTTAATTTAAGCTTAGGTTCAATTGACCGTAATATATGGAGACCTGTTCGCACTGAAGATTGGCAATTAAATTGTAGAAACATTTCAAGTAAATCGTAGTCACAAAGTATCTCATTGGTTCTGGTTCTTAAATTTGGTAAAACTGATGGAGCCAAAACTGTTTCTAAAGCTTTTTCAAGATCCTCCATGTAAAAGGCAGCATGCCGATAATCAAACCAATTGAAGAACCCACTGTCTTTAGTGATCTTCCATGAGTATTCTGATGATGAACCAGAGGAACTAGGGCGAAGATTATATTCTTGAAATGGAATTGGAAAGAAAATTTGATGACCTTTAATGGTGTTCAATTGAATTCGCGCCAAATAATCAGAATTGATTAGAGTATTACTCGTACTCAGGACAATAATTGAATGCATGAGTATCTGTGTGAATCTTTCTTTGAGAAGCATCAATAAACCTAAATCAGTTGAGGTTGAATAACTCTCATTGGGTTCTCTTGGAATGGTTGATAAAAGCAATTTACATTCAAGACTAGAGAGTTTGCTTTGTAAAGAGATTACTCGTCCATATCCAGAAGGAGGTGATGAATTTTGGGTGATTAGAGCTATGATTAAGGCCAAATTTCGGGACTGCCATTGTTTTTCGTTACACAGGTTAACATATTGATTCATTAGAGAGATTATATCAGAAACTTCTCCATCTGAACGAACAGGAACAACCAAAGTAACTCTGAAAGGCAATAATAGAAGAAAGTAATTATTAATAAGGACTTGATCATAATTTCATTGAAAAATAATTTATCATAATTATTTGTCCGAAATTTATTGAAGGAAAATTGGATGATATTCCTTGAATTTTCAATTAAGTGAGGATAAGTCATCTAAATTCATAATGGCAAATATTGATTGAACAAATAAAGAACTATCTCTGCCTAACAAACTTGAACCAGCTAACGGCAGTCAAAATATTTATTGATCTTTCGTATTATTCTCACGAGAATCCGTTAATCTCTTTCCCTTTCTTCCTTTTCATCCTCATCATCATCCTCATCATCATCCACATCATCATCGTCTTCATCTCTCCTTCTCTCTCCTCTCCTCTCACCCATCGGTCCGTGAAGTTATATCCGTGTTCACTATTATTACTGTTATTGTATTACTAACAAGTCTTTACATACTATAATAAAAATATCAATAAATATACTCATAAAAAACAGGTAAAAATGTTAATCAACCAATACACAAAACATGATAATTTTCACTTGTCTTCATTTTTGTTCAGGTTTCTTCTTAACCTTAAATCCTTTTATAATCTCCTTAACTATTACCTTAACTATTATGTATTAGTATAGCAAATAAGCTAAAACAATTGAAAATTATGATATACAATAATAATACTAAATATCATCTAATCTTACCCTTAATAAATCAATTGATGGATTGATTCTTCAAGTAAAATTAAAGCCTTCTCAGTATATTAGCAATTAAAACAATCATGAGAATCTATACGATCATTACTAGACATTGAATATTTAACAAAATTGTTTGTGGTTGTGACAAGATTGGCTCTCACACTCATCTATTTATCCAAGCGTAACCCAAACAATATTAAAGTATTAATAGAAGGATCGATGAGAGACTAATCAGGGTTAACAATCACATTAAGTACAATTACAGTTGAGAAATTAAACCTTCTTTGATTCGCTTAAATTAAAATAAATTGTTGGTAAGTACCTGTTCTGCTCTGTTGCAAACGGTATTTGGTCAATTATTGTCATGGGTACCAAAGGTTTTACTGCTTCGATCCTGATTGGGAAATTGGTCAAGCGTCCTTGATTTGAGAGTATATTTAAATTCATAATATAATCCATCCCTCGATTCGCATCAAATCTTCTATAAACACTGGTAAATTGTATTGAACCAACAGATTTAATATCTGGATATTGAGTAATTAACCAGCGTCCAGTGAGATATTCAATTGTTTCACGATCAATTTTCTCAGCTTCATTTTCTTCTCTCAGGACTTCAAAGTCATCAGGCATGTAAACTAATCCATTCTCAATGTAGGTCCATCGGACAACATCAAATCGATCGACTGGACGATGTGAACTTATTATTCCTAAAGGCCAAGTTGATGTCCATTGGTGATGTGTCTTATGCTTATGGTTGTCAACATAGGCAGTGATTTTACTCTCCAGTTTACTTAACTGTCTCAAGTAATTGTTGAGTGATGATTGAAGATAAAAATGATGAACATTGGCGTAAACTTTGGTGGTAAATAAAGGATATGTTATTAAACTGGAGCTGAATAGGTTAGGGTCGAGCAAAAGTTTGTCACTGTGATCAGGTGACAATCTATATGATTTTATTAACGAATCATTGCAAGCTAATCTAAGACAATCTAGTTGACCTCGACACGAACCAATCAGTGAAGTACTCACTAATAACCCAGATAAAAAGTGATGGAATAAATTTGATTTTTCCGTAAATGCAGATGAACAACTGGAGAACTGATTAGAATCTAATAAATCAACACCAATATCGCCTCCCAGAGCGAAGATGTGATCACTTATGGAGAGATTATCAACAATCGAGCGAAGTGCGTCTCCTTTCACATAACTATTATCACTAATGAAAAAAATGAAGTTATGGCCTCGCAAGTAACTCTTGACTTTCCCAGAGTCATAAGATTTATCAAGATAATTCAAGATGCGAGATAGCACAGGCTCCGGAGTTTGAGAAGGATAAAGATTAATTAAGGAGGGTGATGGAGAGACTAATGGAAATGATGATTCAGGCGATGATAGTGGTAATTGTGCTGGGGCAGGCGAGGAGGATGAAGAAGATGGAGTTGATACAGAGGCAGAAGGTGATTGTGAAGATGATGACGACACAGATGAGTCAGAATAGATAGATTCTTTGAAAAATAAGATTCGATCAGCGTATGAACTGAGGGTTTCATTCAGCAGTTGGCCCAAATTAAAATAAGTTTGGTCACTGGTTAGCACTACAATCAACAGTTGATCGTTAACATCCAATTCGTCTAAAACAAAACGTGGTCTCTTTGAGTTGTAGGCTTTCAGTCGCTCACTGGGTTTAACTGATCCATTGGTTAACGGCAATTTTACAATTGGATTGAAATCAGAATTGATAATTTCCTCAAACCAGTTACTTGATTTAACCAGAAGTCGTGATAATTGAAATCCAGTGGTAGTTTCAACAGTTAAACAGTTATTAAAATATGGAGTAAAAAGAGAAACAAAGAAGCCAGCTAATAGTCCAAATAATATGACTGCTCGTCTGGATAAAGAAGACCATTTTAAATGCAGCAATCTCATTGGCTGACCAAAAAGATTAGATTTCCTTTATGCAACTGACAACACTTTTCAACTGAAGTGGTTAATCAAAGTGTTGTTTTAAACCTGAAATGAAAACAATTCATTAATTAATATAAGATTATCATAATCTAAAATCTTCATTATTGATAATTGCTGTACTGATTAATTAGATGCTTCTGCGTTGAAATGGTTCTCTTATAATTTGTGAAATACTTAAATATGTCCCTTAATTGGATCTTTTTGCTTGTGTCTTTTTAGTTATTTTCAAATTCCCACCAACACGTAAAATTTGAATATAAAATGGCAGATAAAACCATCAAAGCCGCTAAAAAGCTGATGAGGACTGAAGTGACCAATATTTTGTCTACGATGAGTGAAGCTAATCGTGAACAGCAATCGAATGAAATTTTTGAAAAGGTGAGAAAATACTTTTAATGGTTCTTTAATAATCTCACTTGATCTGTCTATCATTTCAGCTAATGAACAATGAAAAATTTAAACAAAGTCAACGAGTTTCTGTGTTTATTAACATGGCGGATGAAATCAAAACAGCCAAGATAATTGAAGAAATATTCAAGCAAGGAAAAAGATGCTTCATTCCAAGAATCATGTTAGTAATCATTTCTGACCCACTTCTTTTATCTCATGTCTTGATTTATTAGTGTCAATTCAATTAAAGATCTTTTATTTTCTCTACAGATTGAAAAGCAAACACATGGATATGGTTGAGATGAGTTCATTGGAAGAAATACATAACCTACCAACAATCAAATGGGGAATGAGACAACCTGAAGTTGTTGACAAAGAAGCAATGGATGTTGGTACGTAACTAAAGTCATTTCAATCAATGGCAATCGTTTGTGTAGTGGATTAGTAGATGATTGTCAAAGTCTCAACGAAACATTCATTTTATTTTGGCGGCAGTCACTACATTTTTTAGTGTTTAACTCAATTAAAGTTATGCTAAATTGTAACCAACAAGTGGCAAAGGATCAACCAAGAGTGGCAAGTTATTACACTTTGGATCCACTAATTTTGCTCATGAGAATCGAGAGTGTAAAAAGTATAACTTTATAGCAATACAATTATACAATCAACAAGATTTTAGATGCTTGTACAAAGTTAAGACTAAAATTGTCCCATAAGAACAGTGAATATGTTTTCTCATGAGATTTCTCTGAATTGCTTTTCAACTTATTTTCATGGGTTGATTACATTTGTGCAACAATGGTCCACCAATGTCATTACCATTGTTAAATCTATCACTAATTAAATAATAGAAACAAGTTCTCACAGAAGTCGCCAACAGTTGACTTATTTATATTCAATTATAAAATATAAATTTATAAATGTTTCTAATTAAATAATGTTATCCAAATACAGGCGGACTTGACTTTATGGTTGTTCCAGGAGTAGCTTTTGGACCTGATTGCTCTAGATTAGGACATGGTTCAGGATATTATGATTATTATTTTGCTAGATACAAAGCTAAATTCGGTAATCTTCCTCATCTCGCTGGCCTTTGTTTTAGAGAACAAATAAAAGACGCAATTCCAATGACTGAATTCGATGTACGTGTACACGAAGTGATCACATCTACAAACTGAAATGAAGTAAAATTCATGGTTTTAAGCTCATCTTTACGGACTTCATATGTTTTTTTGCATTGGAATCAACACTCAACTTACTACTGTGTCAAGTAAGTAACTAACAGTGTAGCTCATCTCTGTTGTATACTGTTCTGGAATAATCTTAATTATTGTCGACTTTCGTTTGGAAATATATAAATTTAATAGACTGTAATGTAAAAAATTGACTTGCGTTTATGAGAGATCAATAAAGAAAATCATCTTTAAAACTATTGCTGTCTTAAAATCTATTGACATGAACTCATTGCTCGCTATCATAGAGAATTGAGTTAATGAACGAGTATTTTCAGAATTATTCAGATTTAACAATTATAAAGAGTGTTGCGTGCTATCCGAATGGAGATTATCAGTTGTTTAAAGATGAAAATGTCCAACACATGGTAGAGTTTAAGATTTCCATTGGACATTTTCATCTTTAGCAGTTGTTTAAGATCCATTTGGATAAGATAATTGGCAAGAATAACATGCAACACCCTTTACTTCGACTCTAATTTATGGAACAATCTTGATATGTCATTAAAAAATAACATGTTACTCATTTGATAGGCGTTATGGTAAATTCATCTAATTGTTAGTCAAAAATATTTGAACATAAACAGTACCATTAAATTAGACTTACCTATTGAGTTAACATTAATTTTTCGAGCCAAAAGGAAGGTTATTATTTTAATCCAGACGAAATTGAATAATTCATTATATTGGCCATGTGGAATTGTTGACCAAACACACAAAATGGATAAACAATTGTATTTGTAAGGCACAGAAAATATAGATGATAAGACAAGAGGAGAACGCAAAAATGTTTAAAAATAACTGGCAGAAGGAGATATTGAAAACTTACATGCTGTCTTTGCGGTAAGTTGAGAGTCTGATAAGATATCAATAATTGAAGCCAAATGTAGGAGATGCGAGAAGAAAATCCGAATAAAACAATCAAAAAACAATTAAAATATAAATTAAAATACTTTCTTGAGGCCCACATGACCACATAAACCTTTATAAACGAAATAAACGAAAAGAAAAAGATCTTCGGGTTCTAAGTTTTAGAGTATACATTATTACAGTTTGTTTCAATGGCGATCAGTTCAAAATTAAAACAGAAAATGAAGAGAATGGAAAAAGAGTGAAATAATAGAAGAGGAGAAACATGATCAGTGGAAGTTGAGTCAGGATGTTAATTAAGAGCCCTTGGTGGATGGAGTTTTGAAGGATGTTGGAGAAAGATGCAGGAGATTTGACCTTTCACCTCACAATGGTTAAAATATTAGCATATGCATTGGTTTGCTCTTGAAAAACAGTTTTGGCAGCAAAGAAATTTGGAAAAGACAAGTCTATCACATGGCTTTGGAATAATTAACGAAAAAGACATTGATGGAGATATTTCAGACAGCATAATAGATTGTATTTTGCTTACGAATTAATTTTATCAATTCAAATTGTTTGATTGTCTAATATGGTTGAATTAAAATGAAGTTGTGAGTTAGAGTTAAAATGAAGTAAAAGTAGAACGAGAGATAGAGATGAAGTTAAGAGTAAGATTAATAATTCGTACTGTTGTTTAGATTTGGTTAATCTTAACGTTACAAAAATTAGTTATCTTAAGAATTTACATGAAACATTTTAATTTACAGCGAATTTACAGAAAATTATTATTTTCTTTAGTTAAATTAAGAATATTACAGAAATTAAGATAATTTAATTGTTTGAACTAGTTTTAAATGATCCTGGTTTTATGATATTCATTTTGAGATGTGCTTTTGGTTTTTCTGAATCATCTTTGGGTTTATCTTCAACGACACTCAAATGAACTCCGAATCCATTACTAATTATTCCAGATTCATATGCTTCAGCTAACTGATTGACTACTTGACGTTCAATTTCATGTTTAATACTTCTGGCTCCATAGTGAATATTATAACCGGCAGTTAATATTTGAATTACTTCTCGATCCCATGAAAGCTTAATTTGATGTCGTTCTTGTGCTCGTTTAGACCAGCCTTCTAATTCTTTTGTGACTAATTCATTGAGTTCTGTTTCAGAGAATGGAAGAAAGTAAACCATTTCATTTATTCGACCCAGAAATTCGTCTCGCTTGAAATGCCATTTAAGAATGGGTCGGACAACTTTCTCTTTGAAATGTTCTGAAACTGTTATATCACTAGATGAATTCGATAGTTCATCTTTTAAGTCGACATTTAATCGCTTCATTGTTAAAGCTCTAGCTTCCTTTCTCAATTGAAGACCATATTCAGCAATCTCATCACTGGCCAGATTACTAGTCATGATAAAAATAGCATCCTTGCATTCAATAGTTGTGCCTTGTCCATCAGTCAGACGACCCTGTGCCAAGAAAAATTGATGAAATAGTTAATAAAAAGATAAATTTTCAAAGCTAGAAATTTTCTAATCACCTCATCGAAAAGTTGAAGCATAATTGTCAATACATCGGGATGTGCTTTTTCAACTTCATCAAACAATACAACAGCATTGGGACATTCTTGCAATGCTTTAGTTAGTTGTCCACCCTCTTGATAACCAACATAACCAGGAGGCGAGCCAATGAATCGAGACACTTCAGCTTTGGATTGAAACTCGGACATATCTAATCGAATGAATCCTTTAGGATTATTTTGATGAATATATTTGGCTACTTGTTTGGCTAATTCAGTTTTTCCTATTCCGGATGATCCAAGGAACAAAAATACTAAAGGATGATCTTCATCAAACCACCCATTCTCTTTTCTTCTGATAGTTGAGGCAACAATTGCTATAGCAGCTTCTTGACCTGAAAAAATAGAGACAGAAAAAGAAATGCAATGAATTGAATTATATTAGAACGTAAAACTTGTGTATGCACGTATTGTCAACTTACCAACAATGAATTGTTTTAGTCTTTTTTCGAGAGGAAACTTTCTCCTTTCCTCCATCTGCCTTTTCTTAACTAATTCCTCGTACTTGGAAGCATATTTAGTCAAATGTTCAACCATCAGGTGGTTATCAGGGTCGACATAGTCGATAGGCTTGTGTCCCAATTTGTTGACATAGAAGGGATCAGCTCCGTTTTCAGTTAGTACCATAACAGTTTCCAGATCATCAATAAGAACGGCGTAATGAAGAGGTGTACAACCCTCATAGTTTTTACCTGGTTTCAACAGCATATTAAATTCATTTCTTCGTATTTGAACTTTACCGATATCATTTGCACTTCGAATTGTGTAATAATCTTCAATATTAACATTGGCTCCTAATTCAATTAAATATTTAACAACTTTGGAATTGCCATTGGCAGCAGCTACATGCAGAGCAGTCCAACCAAGAGTATGGCGAACATTTATATCAAAATTATAAGTTTCGTTAACAATTGATTTTATCGTTGCCAAATCTCCTGTTTGGCAGGCATCGAAAAATCTGTCGACTTGAATTGATCCTTTATCAAACCTTAATGCATGTACTATGAGTAAAAAATTATAATAAATTAGAATAACAATGAATAAACTTCAATCCTTTAATACATACCTGTGAATAGATTAGAAATATTATCTTTAAAAAGATAGCTTACTGGAAGAAGCGCAGAAAGATACCAATAGCGAGGTGCTAATGCTCCAATAAAGTTTCTTTGACTTTTAAATCGATAATTGGACTGTCTGGAAAATTGTCTAGTCAAGTATCTGATATGACCAGAATTTGACCGCAATAAATTTTGCGTCAAAAGCTTGTTAAAAACAGTGTTGATGAGCATATTGGTCTTCAAAATTTGCCGGAAAACACGACAGCATGAGTTAGTCTTTAATCAAGATCGGAAAAATCGATGATTTTCTATTAACAGTGAGATAAAATCAAATAAAAATAAATTAAAAATAAGTAACAATGATTGGAGTGAGTGGAGAGAGCATATTACATCATAAACATATGATCGTGATGAAATACACATTGAGAAGCATTTACTTACTGTAAAGGAATAGTCGTAGAAACACGATAACTCCAGGACTCTTCGAAATTAAATCAAACCAACAATAATACAATACAATACTAACTGAATCAGTAGATAAATTGGAAACAATCAAAATAATAAGCACCTTAAATAAAGGATAACAATTCACAATTCATAAAGCATTAAATGAATTTGGTGAAACTTGGACTTTCGACCGTTAGACGGAGCTACTGATGATTTGAAAAGCTGGTTTTTTAAATGTTTACAAGTTACATGCTTTTTTGTTGCCATTTATTATATTATGTTTGATTTACTTAAATTAGTGTCTTATAATTTGTGATAATACAATGGATATTTACAACCGGGTCAATTATTTACAAACGGTGGCTCAAGAGTTGAGTAAAGAGGATAATTTGGATAAACTTAAATTAGCCTCCTTTTTGGGTTACACTAAGCGAGAGATTTGTCTTAAAAATCAAATTCCAACCTTTGGATGGGATCCAATCAAGCGATTGACTTGTAAACGTTGTTTTTCACCTTTAGTCATCAACAAAGATGGTTATGATCCAGTTAAATTCAAAATAGTGAAAAAGTTTCTCCATATCAAGTGTAAACAATGTGGAAAAGACAGACGAATCAAATTGAGCAACCAGAGGAAAAATTATTATGAAAAGTTGATCTATGGCGATGGATCAACCAACATCATAATAAACCTTTGTGTAATTTAATAATGAGTCATCTCTTTCCAAAAATCTCTAATTGATATTCAATTAGATTACACCAAAAAGCTTCAAGAGGATCACCAAGATTGATATAATAACTATTGACGTGCATACAATGGAAGTTGCTGTCGCACCATTAGAGGCTCTTTGTGCCAATTTAGCTCCAGCTATGTTGATTCTTCCTTGTTGAATATGATGTAGACTTTGATCACTCAATTCCTTAATGTTAATCACCGAGTCTCGAGTCTCATAGATATGTGCATTTATGAAGCGCATAAGCTTCTCATTTTCCTGTAAAGTCTCACCCAGTTGCCTGTAAAAAGGGAAAAATATCAATGGAATTCTGTACTTTGATTGATAAATTGGATAAAAATTGTTCTACCCTGATATCCATAAATAATCAGAAGCTGAAAAAGTGCAATTTAATTCGGTATTTACCGAGTTTCCTCAACAACCCTTACATTGAAACTCATTTACCTCAAAGCGTTGGTATTATCTGTAAAAGCCTCAGCGCTACTTTGACTTTTATCCTGAATAATAAATTTCTCATGTTGATTATAAATCTTTTCAACCTCTGGTCGTAAAATAAATTCCCAATTATATGTGAAATATTTAAGCTCATCGATGCCATACTTGTAATAATCAGATCGAGGATCTTTGTCAGCCAAAGATGTTTGAATTAAGCCCATCAAACGAATAACATCATTAGTTTCCTCTTTAATATCTTTTAAACTCAAATGAATCCAAGTTTTATTGTTGTCACTTTGCAAAGTTAATGTTGCTAATTTGGATTTCCATTTGATTAAATTTCTCTCAAGCTCATTGAACTTCATATTGATTGATGCACACCATTCAACCAGTAAAGCATAATCATTGTTTGTCATATTGACGGACTCAATGCAATAAGATATCCAAATAGAAGCACAAAAACTAACATTCTGTCAGCCTTTATAATCAATTTTAATTGCTTGGCTATATTAACTTAAAGAATAATTACGGTTAGAATCCTGATCTAAATTCAATTGATTATCTTCATTGTTAAACAGTGTGTGAAAATTGTATTGTAGGATTAACAAATTATTTCAGTGTTGTACTTGCTAATTACTGGGATTACTTTTGTTTTTTCAATTCTATTATATTTAAATTAAAACATTCAATTTGGTTCCTTAAATTTGTCCTTTGTTCATTGTAATTACATTCATTCCAATTATTCACTTGTTTCTCAAAAGACCCAAAATTTCTGGCTATTACGGATTGGTTAAAATTATATTAAAATGACCCTCGATCTGGAAACTAGTTTAATGGCTTATAATCAACTGTATCTAATAGGTTTAATCACTATGTTGGGCTTAACTTTTCTCATAATGATGTGTGCTTGTGGAGGTCCAAAAAATGGTATGAGCACAATTTACTAACAATTTTGCTAACCATAGCTTGATCTTTGTCGCAACCTTTTCATTTATAAATTGTTTCTTTAAATTTAATTTTCTTGTAGAACCCTCAGGAACTCCTCAATCGCCTCAAACTGATGCTGAATCAGGAAAACCTGCTGTAACACCTGCTGATGCTGCGGCAATGCCAGGAGCTCCCCCTCCATCAAATTTAGAATCTGGTCCAATCGCAAGTGCGGCTCAGTCAGGAACTGGATCTGGTATAAAATCAGCAACCGATTCCAAGGTGGGATCAACTATGGGCTCGAATATTGGATCAAATGTTGATTCAGTTGTTGGTTCAACCGTTGGATCAAATGTTGGGTCAAATGTTGGGTCAACTGTTGGCTCCACTGTTGGATCTAAGGTGGATTCAACTCTTTCCCGCACTTCAGGGGTTTCTAGTGCAGTTTCATCTGTTACTGGTTCAGCCATATCAGCATCAACAACTGGTTCTGCTATAGGCTCAACAATGGGTTCAGTTGCCGGTTCAAAGGCTGGATCAACTATGGGCTCAAATATTGGTTCAGCTGTTGACTCTCGTGCTTCTGGTGTCTCTTCCAATGTCTCTGGAATGTCTTCAAATGTTTCTGGTATTAATTCAGGTGTCTCCAATGTGTCCGGTATTTCTCAAAATTCTCGAGTCTCCAACGTATCCAACATTGAATCCACAGCTAAATCAAATATGTCCGGAATCGATTCAAAAGCTGGTTCAGCAATGTCACAGCTACAATCTCGTGCTCCAGCATCTACAGCGAGTGGTACCGGTTCAGCTATGTCCGCAGTAGCCAAATCTTCAACAAAATCAAAAGGATCTAGAATGTAGAAGGATAAATAGAAAGATAAAAAATCATAACTCAAAATTCAGTAAACTCACCCACCTTAATAAATTGTTAGATTCCTGTTTTTTTCATCACAAATTAAAAAAAATTTTGATTAACTTACAAGTGTTACAAGAAAATGTCGCATTGCAAATTGTCTAATTTACTCAATAGATGATGTTAGTAGTAGACAAGTAGACTTTCAATTTTGTCTCGAAATTTTAAAAAGGTTCTATCTCCATGTCATGCTCATATACCTTTCAAAGATGAACATGAACATAGAACCTTTGACCAAGCGTTGAAATGAGCAAGATTAAATTTTTATTTATATCATAGCAAATTATATTATAAAGCAACTTGGTCAATTATCGTGTGTCATGTTATCATCCATTAACCTCATAGTTACCTTAATTTCTATTATCTGTATAATTAATTGTGTTATTTGTAACCAAGTTTTCACCAACTCCTTTTATGTGCACCTCAATGGACCATATGGATCAGATGTTGCCCATCGTATAGCTCAGAAACATGGGTTCATCAATTTAGGACCTGTAAGTAACCATCAACCTTTCATCCTTTATCCTTCATCCGAACCCATTGAATCCTTTGAAACAGCTTTTTACCCCTCAATCATATTGTTAACCAGCTCAAAGACAGTTAAATAAAGCAACCAATTCAACTGACATTTCAATTGTTATATTGGAAAATCGTTTTCTTTTTTCGTTTGTTTTTCATATTGTTATATTCATTATTTACAACCTTTCCTGTGATAAATTTATCAAAGAATTATTTTATTCAATTACTTGAATAAAAGCTAAAAATACTGTTAGTTTAGTGGACATGGTTTTCAAGTGTACAGGGAAAAAAATTGGATCAATAATGAACAATTGTATTGAAGCTTGAAAAATAAAGCAGAGACATTTTCAATTATATTGAAACTATTCATTGTATCAATGATTATTGTATTGAGCTTTCATTCATTGAATGAACCTAGAAACGTTTCAATCTGATTTATTATTTTGGTTAAAATATTGTTAAAATAATTATTAAAACTGAATCACTCCAAAGCTGATAGTTTCCAGACATTCTGTTGTATACTTTACTCTTGGACTGTTACATCCAAATAAATACTGAAAACTCCACTTCATGGAGGATTGAAAGATTTGATATGTTATCCTTGATTAACTATTACTTATCAATTGTTGGATAGACAAATATCATTCAATTATTAGTCGATTACATTACACATTCAACCGATTATTTTTCAACAGTCTTTCAGTTTAATGTATCAAAATCCAGATAATTTTGAGCCTTTAAATTTACAGTTGATTATATTTCAATCCTTTCTTTACTTGGTTATTTACCAGAGTCAGGTTAACTATTGGTGACGGTGAAGTCACGTTTTAAATAAATTGTTTCATACTGATTATTATAGTACAATACATTTCATAGCAGTTGAGATAGAAAATTAGACGAACAAGAATGAATAATTCCAAGGTTAGGTTGATATCACATGATAATGGATATGATTTGCATCTCATTTTTTCCTTGCATGATCATTATATTTTTGTCAATCTAGTCATTAAATACAAGTCACAGGAAGCTTGACATTTTCTTCAATTAAAGTAAGATTAATTTGAGTATATCGATTGAGCAAGTTTTCAATGATCGACTGCTTGGCGTTCGATTCCATGTTTAATACTTCCAGCTCCTTAATCATTATAACCGGCAGTTAAACTTCTCGATTCCATTAAAGTTTAATTTGATGTCGTTCGTTTGGACCAGCTTTCTAACAAATTGAAATAAACATGATTCAAAGATTCAAAAAAGTATATTAATAAGCTTAAAAAATTAATTCATCATTTATCATTTAGAACTGAAGATTGATGATGTTTGGTTGTAAAAGAGTATAATTTTGCAGTTATATTTATCAAATTTCCTCCAACCTAAAACTGAAGGTTAAAAGTTATTCTCCAATGAAATTGTTGAACCAATCGAGCTTTAGATTGAATCCATTTCTCACAATCCTTATAAAACCATAGGTTTGTTTCCCAATCGAAGACCAAGGGTTTTGCAAGTAACATGAACATGATACGTCTACAAGTCTGAACAGAAAAAAATAAAGACTTACTATTAATTCTTAGATTCTACTGATAAATAGAATGTAATACAACCTGAGTCTGATAAAGCAAGAATTAATCCATCAATTGTTGATTCTTTTATACAGGGAGTTTCAAAGGTTATCCGGATAAAATGAGTATCGCAAATGATACTTCAGATATTTTTTATTCTTTGTCACAATCATGATGAATCTCTGTAATAATTTGTTGATATCAACAATAAAATTTTGTTGTTTTTTCCATTTCATCAATCATTAGGCTTAATTCCTGATTCTCATCATGATTGCAACAAATCATAATCTAGTTTTTTAATTATAAGAGTTTACTTACGTTTAGAAACCAACATTATATTTACTGTCTGAAATGCTTCAAGAGAAAATATTGATAACAATCACCTAGAGGAATAAATGATTAAATTAAACTTGATTTTCAAAAGAAATATCCATAACTCTTGATATACTTACTTTTCCCAAAACTATTGAAAGATTAATGAACATTGTACAATTTTCTTCTATTTATTCCTTAAATCCTTTCTTTTCCAAACTATAGCTTCTCAATTCTCCTGATGAGTTTCATTTTCTTCATCGGGCATTACCACATTCCAGAACAAAAAGAAGTATATCTCATACCAGGAAGCTTAAAAATGATCCGCAGGTAAGGGTTAACCTAAATCTAGATTAACTTCACAAACTGAGAAAGCAAGTTTAAACTTGACACCATGTAGATTGTTCAATCTTGTCCGGAATATTTCATTAGAATGGCCAAATTGATCAACAAATCTGTTCAATATCCTACACTAAATGAGATTAAAAAGGTTGAAATAATCATTAACTGACATTATTAATGAATCGTTTACAGGTAGATTTTGCGGTCCAGCAATCTGGATTTAAACGAGTTAAACGTGGTTATCGCCAACTTATTCTGGGTCCAGAACACCTTTCACTTAATCAGGAGCCATCTGATCCTTACTTTCCTTACCAATGGTATCTGGTGAGTTATCCTTTGATTCTTTTTCTCTTTTCAAAAGTGGAATTTCTTGACAATTCTTGAGAATCCAGAATGCTTCTGAATAACTAGACGATATGAAAAAAAACACAATATAAATAATCATTTGATCATAAATCATTACAAAAATGAAGAAAAGTAAATCTTTTGAGCCATTTTAGTTCTGAATCTATTATCTGAGAGTTTCAAACCATTTAGATAAGTAAAATGCTTAGAATTGATACATTACTGGATAAACCAACATTGAATTTATACACAATATTTTTATCGTTAAACCAGGTAACATCATTTTTGGGTTATTACCAAGATGATCACCATAATGACCAATAAATGTATATGACATGAAATGGCTCACATAATATTAAATAAATTTGTTTTTAGAAGTTGTTCAATTATTGAATACAACACTACTTACAGAGATTTATTATTGATGTCTGGAGAAAATTTTTTTTCTCAGACAACCTGAAGGCTTTTCCAGTTTTTTAATCCACTCCTTTACTGTTCATCTAAAAGTCTTAAGAAAATAGAAAATATTGTTTACTATTGTGATTAAAGGTTTTAATATTGATGTAGAGCGCAATTTTTTTTCACTTTTGTGGTGTAGCAACAATAACCGTAGGCGATGGAAACTGAATTACGTATTAACAATTTTAGGGGAGATTGTCAACCATACTTTAGCTGTAGTACTTGTTCACTTACATTGTTTAATAAACTACGTTGTTATATTTTGGATAGACAGGGACCAACATAGAGACAAATAGTCAGCAAATTGTCTTTCTTTGTACTTGCAAGTTATCAACTCCACTTGTAATAATATTAGGTGAAATAATAGAAGGTGAAAAATTTCCTTGCAACTTTAACCAAGCCTGTCTCTTCTCATTTGATATCACCATGAAAATAGAAAAATGTCGGCCAAAATGGGGGCAAACCGAAATTGGACTTAAATGTGGAGGCAGCCTGGGCCCAAGGGTATACAGGGAAAAATGTAACAACCGCCATTATGGATGATGGTAAGCAAATAATTGTGTTTATCTTTCAAATTAAGCTCACTTCAGATCTTTCTGATAACCATCCTTTACTTTTTTTCATGCGAAAAAAGCTCAGAAGAAATCCAGTTTACTAAAATAAAGTCATTTTCTTTTCTCTTTATTCCAATAGGAGTCGATTACATGCATCCAGATCTCCGTGAAAACTATGTAAGTGATTTACCTGATTTACCAAGACAATCAATTCAATCGTTCATGATAAAAACAGGTTGCGTAACAAGATTGGAAAAGTCATGGTGAAAATTGTGACTGGGAAAGATAGAAAAAGATAATTTAGAATGAATAGAAGAAGACATGATTGAAAAGCAAATTCAATATAAAATTAAATCAAAAACTTACTGAATAAAATTCCTTTTATTGAGAAAAGAAGAAAAAATAAATCACGTTGATGGAGTGATGATGACAAAAACATGAGAGAGGCTGAGAAATGCATTCTCTAAAACAAAAATTCAGACTCAATTCTTTACAAGATTTGAAGGCAGGTTCAGAAAATGTCATCATAATAAAGATTAACACTTGGGATTAAAACAAAAGAACACAATTAGTTTGAGATGAAAAGACATTTCACATGAATTTATGATGAAAGCGAAAAATTTAACCGTTTTTTTGTAACAATGACAAAGTGCGTCATTATTTGACTGATAAATAGCCTTACGAGCTAAACTTACTGATCTTATTATAGCCAGCAACAGTTTCAATTCAGCTTTAGACACATTTATTTTTAGATGTTAAATCAATTAATTTAATGAATCAACTAGTCTAAATATTAATTGTATCGTCGTTCTGCTATTTATTATTTAACATTTTAATTGTGTAAATAGGATTGAAAAGCTGTAACCAACGGTTACAGTCATTATGATTGCGCACTTTGACTTCAAATTTTTTCCGTTACTCTTTTGATCTTAGCAACAGTCAATTGTTTTTTTCTTTGATTAATAATTCTCGTTTAAATTATCTTCTTTTTCAATCAAATGCGGGTTTATATTGATCTGTTGTCAACAGAATGCCAAAGCCAGTTATGATTTCAGCAGCAATGATCCATACCCTTACCCACGTTACACTGATGATTGGTTCAACAGGTAAGACCATTGATATCCATTTTTAATCCACTTTTTTGTGATTGACTTCTGAGTTTAAAGTCTATCTATCAACCCTTCTAGTTCATCGTGATTTCCTGTTGACGTGCACATTATCGTCATCATTAAGTAGATAATCAGTCATTCAAATTGTACAACCATCAGTTGATTCAAATGTAGACTAATCCGATTTCACTTGTTTTTTCCAGTAAATATTACATTGTATTCTTGTGATGCATGGGTAGAACGAGACATTTTTTACTTATTTTTGGTTACATCAAATTTTAATGGTGTTTCCAAAGTCTCATGGATTTTGATTGATCACTGAGTTCTCAATATCTAACTGAATAATAGACATCGTAAGACAGAGAGACTAAAATTTACCAAATTTGGTGTTGCAAGTTTGAAATTTCAGTTGATAAATGGAGTGAACAAAAGATACAAAAACTGTACCTGGAACCCAACAAAATCAATAGTTTATTAGCATATATTATTACCATGTTTGATACATTCAAATGCCAGGAGACTAATTATTATATCAATTTATTTACATTCAATTGAAATTGAAATTTTATTCTGTACCTTCACAACAAACAGTTATTACTTTACATTGGATACATGACTTTCATTCAAGTATTATTTGCATTTCTAGTTATTGATCTTCAAATGCAAATGTAGTTGATTTATTTTAATGGAAGCTGAAAAATCTATTTGTCTGGACAAAAATAGAGCAAAAAAAGGTGATAAACCCAAAAATTTAATAATAACCAATTTGGTAATATTTAAATTTGAAATACTAGTAGCTTTTGTTATACTTAACCCGAAAACAGTAACAAAATTGAGACTATCTCCAATTTCAGGCTGAATTTAGATCACCTTTCCTCAATAACTCGATACAAAAGCTATTTTATTACAGATTAAATCAAATTAATTATCAAAATGCAGTCTTGATCATGTTAATCAATAAAATTGAACAGATGAAACCAATCAGTTTAACCAGTTTTGGGTTCACTCATTAATAGCACGTTGTTCAATAGCTGAAACCCAGATAAGAAGCCAATCAGTTTTCCATGAACCCTGATGGTAATAATTTTCACTTAACTGAAACGATGATTAAACTGTAACCTTAATTGTTATTTTGCTCTTAATTTTGACTCCAAGTGATGAACCAAAAATGATATTGAGTCAATTTTTAATATCATTTTATTGACGAAACCCTTTGAGAGTTTTCATTGAAAGTTGAAAAATTATCATTCCTATCATGATCATTGAACGAGTTAACCTTTCCAATGAAACATTTCTAATGTTTTATTCAATATAAACATGAAAGTTGTTTGTTTTCATGATTTCCTCTAAAAATTACCAAATCACAAAATCAAGACTTATTAATAAAACCTGAAAAATCTTATCCAATCAGTTCAATGTCAGACGCATTTTTGATTGAGTTATAACAGATTCATATCAATATCATTATTATAATCAAATCTGTGATCGATTTATTATACTTTAAATAAATAAACATTTCAACAATTTTGATCACATAAATAGCCTTTTACCTGAAATGCTTAATATCAACATTTCAAGTAAATATTGAATTCTGTTGATTGAATAAATCGATACTATTTAATATTAAAACATAGCAAACAATTTAATCAATCTTTTTAATTCCTTCCTTTAATCTGTTAATAATATTTGATATAAAAAGCTTATAAAAGTAGGAAACTCACAATTCAAGATTGATTATTTTTTAAACCAGACACTAAACATTTCCATCAAACTGAATCAACAATTGTCTGGAAATATAATGGCGATCATGATTGATTGTCGACTAATTGGGAAGATTAATTATCAAATAGACTCAAGTGCAATGTGATTTACGATCCAAGTTAGTCAATTTAAAGTACAATTAGCTGATTGATAACGACAATTGAAGTGATAACTGTCAATTCTTTGTGTTGAAATTTTCATCGATTTTACAACGAAAATCTAAAACAGAATAATTTCTCGGAATTGATTTTTTATCGAAATTCCAACTTTTCAAAGAATGAATCTTTTCGTTCATTCGGCTGATTACTCACCATGATATCAATTGATTGTGAGTTGAATCGCAAAAATGAAAATAACTGTTTTCTTTAGTCTAATGTTAAATGTTAGTTTAAAGAATCTAAATTGTAAGGATTTAAAAAGAGTTACAATATCCTAAGATTGACAATACAATTGTAATTACTTTGGATTTGATTGTTTTTGCTCATTAAATTGCTCTTGATTATTATTCTTAATTGAATTACTTTTGTGACTATTTTAATGTAAATAATGGACATTGATTTCATTCCTTATTGTCCATGAATTCACTGTTACTCTGCAGTTTAAACAAAAATGTTTTTCTTATGAATGTAAAGAGATTCATTTAAATGAATAATATTCAATAATATTGAGATTTTGCCTCATCCTTAACATGCAAAAATACTTAAATGTTCAAAAATAAATCACTGAAACATTTAATCAAAAAATTTGATCCATTTCGTTTGTAAAGTTGCTGATATTCACCATGAAACTGAATTATCTCTACATCCCTCAATAGCTCAGATCAAAAATAAGATGAGCTGAAAATTGTGAAACGAAAAATTCTTATTCAGAATCAAATATTCTCAACAATTCTCATTCCTACTTTGAATTTCAACACAGTTCATCTCTTGGAAAATTGACATTCATGACTAGCCTATTCATTTACATCAGAAACTACTCTGAAGATTTTGAAGTCTTCTTTCAAATTCCTAACTCCAAGTTCTGTCAAATTTTGATCTCAAATTTCTCCTGTTCGACTGGCCATTTCATGCAAATGTCCAAAAGAAATTATTCATGTTGAAGGTTTCACCAGAAACTAATTTTGGTTAAAGGTCATGTTATTTGATTACAAGTGACTTTCAGATTTGCTGCTTTTTTGATTTGTTGCCATTGTCAACCAGCCATCAAGACTCTTGAGATTAATCTAGTAAATTACCTTGATAGGTACAATTTTAAGGTTGTGAGTGTAAATTTGGTAAATCCATGAAACTCTGAGAAAAAAATACTCGAGTTTAATTTGTTTATTCACTGATTTAAACCTCAATTGAATCTGAACTTACCAAGAATAGGGAATGAAATGAGGTTGAAAAAAATGTTTCCATTTGGCTCAAAATTTATGCTTGTATTTGATCAATTGAGTAAATTGGATCCACCACATTGAGAGACTATCATTCAACATTTATCCTCAGATTACCTGATGGGAATAACCTTTGCTCTTTACATGAGAGGAAAAAAAGGAAAAGTTCATCAGCTTAATCTTTAGATGCATTCTAATAGTGTATCAACATTGCAATATGTTCTTACCTTTACATCACTTTACCAAAGAAATGATGTTTTCTTTATTGCGTGAAATAAATCATTTCATCGATTGATAAGTGTAAATCATTAAAATCATCTTCACCAGCTTTGAAACACTACAGATTCACAGGAAAATATCAACGAGTTTTACAGGGATTTTTAACTCCCATCCATCAATACAAACCTTAAAAATAAATTTTTGCATTTTCCTACTTTTCACTCAACAATTGAATCTTTTATGATAATTGTTGACGTTTCTAGTTTTAAGATTCAATTTGAAATTATCATTGAAATATCGATTGATTTGTTTGATAAACATGTTGAGCTGTTAAACAAATGAACCTTTAATTTCAGTGAAATTAATGTTTTTGTTGGCGAAAAGCTTGAACAAACTGAAAGATTAAGAGTATGAATTGAAAAAAAAGAAAATGAAAATACTCGAAACTAAATTAACAATTAAATGTGCTAATTTGCATTGTTAATTGCCTATTCTCATGATATTAACCAAACATTGGGATAACATTAACGTCCCAGACTACTCATTGTTCAAGGTATAATTCATGTTAACTATTCAATTTTACCACCTTTTGTTTATCGTTCAATCGTAACTATTGAAAAGATCAATGCTTGAAAAAAACTCACAATGAGGGTTAAAGGCGAGATTATCATGATTCAAGTATAAATACGGTTGAGACCAACATTTAGTTACAATTGTTATCAACAATTATTATTCTGCCTGTTGACAGATAATGTTTTATTTCAAGGTTTTATTTCGTTGTTCAGTTTCAGATAATAAACATGATTATTTGCTTGTTGATGGTATTCAAGTGGATTCTTTAACCTTTAACTACTCTGATATTCAACAATTTGATTAACCGATAAAAGCTATTAACTTATAGAGACTATTCAACTGAAAGTAATGTTTTTCAGTGCAATACTTTATGCTTTATGAGGTTCATCCATATTGTATCAAAAGCAATGTTATCATTAAACAATAAAGCTAATTATTGATCTATTCATTAAACTCACCAGGATCAACTGCAAGTTCAACAAAAGCTAATCATAAAGGTAATTGAAAGATTGCTGAATCCTGGTCAAAACTATAATCAAATGTAATGTAACCTCATCATTAAGATATTATCATACTTATTAGGTCACTTCAACTGCAATTAACTTACACCTGAATCAACACCTTAATTGTATTTTTTATCATTTAATGATATATATTAGAAAGACTTGAATGGATATTAAAAATCTTTCAATCACCAGTCTTTAAATGATATCTCGCCATGAAAATATCACCTTAAGGTTGATCAATGCGAAGCATGAAATGTTTACAGATTTTTTGGGTTCTCCATTTTTTGTTGAAAATTTTTCACTTTAAGACTTTTTCAAATTCTGATTGATTACTTTCTTGTTGCTTCTGAAGTCTTTTGTTCAGTAAAATTAACCAGATTTGTATATTCACTAGCAACTTCCTTGAGATTTTTTAATCAACAAATGAACTTTTCATCTTCTGAATATTCGAAGAAAATTTGTGTCGAACCAAATCACAAATAACAACGAAATTGATCAAAATTGTATCTTCTGTCTTTTTAATGGCTCTTATTGCCATCTTTGGTTCTGTTTCACTTGCAACTTCCTCAAGATTTTGTTAATCAAAAAATGAACTTTTCATCTTTGGAATATTTGAAAATTTTTAGATAAATTTGATTTTTTCCTTATTCTTGGAGGTTTGATAGCTTATTAAAAAGATATCGAGACAAGTAAAGGCTCAACTGAATTCTCATTGAATAAGTGGTAAATGCTGGAAAAATTTATTAATCAATTTCATGCCTTATTTAATTGATTTACTGACCATTTACCATTCAACTTCATGTTTTGGAAAAATCTTTAAATTAATGTTTTCTTCATGCTTGGCATCATCATTAAAACATTAATGTCTTTGAACGTCTTCTTATGAATCTCTGTGCAGACATTTTGATATCAATGAATAATGTGAAGAAATGGGTTTCAGTTTCAAATTGACTTGGCAAAATTTTGGTGAGATTTTTATTCAAATTGATCAAATTTCACCAAACCTTTAATTTCAATAAAATGGATCCAATTTTAAGTCCAGAAAAGGTTGTCTCAATTTTCAGTGCAAACGGTTTCCTAAATTTCCTCAAAACCTGTAAGAATCTGATCATGATTGTTCAAAGCCTTGACCATATCAGGCATTAATCAATATGGATTAACAATAATTGTCTTTGCCAGTTGATTGGGAAATTGATTACCGAGAATTAATGAGATTGATTCAAATTGTGTACTCAACTTGTACTCTACACAAGTCTAACCATCTGGTTGAAACAGTTTCATGATTAAAAATAATGTAACCTTTATCATGAAACTGTGATTGTCATTTCAATCATTATATCACTTGAAGTCGTTTACACTGGAAAATTGAATAATATTTTGTTGTCCCCACTGAAAACAGGTAAACTCTGAAAATGTAAATAACATTCTTTACCTTTCATGATACACATTCAGCTATAAATAGATACCTGAATTAATGATATTAATGATTTACACTTGATAACAATTATTCATTGGACTGAAGGCGATACTGTTGGTTATGAAATGACATCCAATTATTTGATACAAAACCATTTATACTTTTATATCTTGATTTTCATCTGATAATAACAATTGATATTAATAACGGTTCATAATGATACTTGATCATCATCAATCTTAATATTACAAAATTTACTTTTCACCATAATTATCATCATATTATCTGTTCTTTTTCTCATTTTCAGCTTTTCGTCAGAATTTTTTTCACCAATCATTTTGTCCATTGAAACTGTTTGCTTTCAACTTGAAAGATAATGAATAAATAAATTGATTTCATGAGTGAAGGAACTTGAAATGTGATCGCCAATTTAATCTCAAACAGTTGAATCACACATTCCTTGAAATCTTCTGAATTGCCACTGAAATGAAAACTGAAATCCCAGGTAAATAGCATTAGAATAAACTGAATCAACTTGCAACAATCAATCTTTTTACCAGTCAATAGGATTTCTGACTAAACTAAAGCACTAAAAGATCACAAATTAAATCTTCAGAAAAAATGGATTCCATTTTGTCGCTTCAACGAATCAGAGAATCAAGTTCAAAGCTTTGAAAAACTCCGAGTATTTCAATCGATTGCAGATAATTTCTGAGTTTGAAAGTAAAAGTGAAATTTCATTCGAAAACTCTCAGGTTAAATTGGCCAATCCATGAAAAAGAATCAACTTTATTCTTTCAATCAATCATTCATTGTCATTCATTTAATTTACAACCAACATCTGAAAACAAATATTCAATGTTAACTGTTCAATCAATAAGTATTGATTGTTGAACTGTAAATATTTTTCCCAACCAAAGCAAACCTAAAAACCAGATTTGGGTTAAAGTCTCATTCAAATGGGAAAATTGTATTTTTTTAATTAACTTTGAAATTTATTAATTATTAACATTCAACCAATTAAATAGTCATTTCAAGAAGTGAACAGTTTGATTAATTATAAATGATCAAAGTTCAGCAATATTTAACAACAAAACAAATGTATTAATGAAATTAATCAAAAGCCTAAAATTTAATTACCATTATACATTAGTATTGCTGTAAACCTTTCAGACTCAGAGCAACTTATCAAGTTTACTTAATTTCACATTTTGTTTTTAATTGAAAGAAATTTCATTTTTAACAAGTTTAATGATAATTCAATCGGATTTGATGAAAATTCAAGCATTCTTTGAAAATTATCCTGAAAAGTATAATTTTATGCTCAACATTTACCCTTTAAAATGGAGACTTTTTGTGTCAATCTTTTCTTGTCTTTGTCATTGTTCAACTGTTCAACTCACTTTTACATTTTCAACTTTAATTCAATTTATATATTTTTTTGTTCAATTTCATTCTGTTCAGTACAAAATCTCATTACTCAAACCGAGGAGACTTTTGTTTCCCAATTTATTCATAACAATGCACAGAAATTATGATTGTGTTAACAATCATAATAATAGTAAATTGTATAAAATTACTATTAAATCAAATTTTGAGCATGTTTACCTTCAAACCTTTTAATATAAAATTTTACTGTCAAAATTTTCATCTCCAAGTTGACAATCAATCTAAATATACAAAGGGAAGAAAATTAAACTCTAATTGAAAATTAATTTTCACAATTTAATTGATTTGTTTTAACAAAATTACTGAAGAGAAACAAAAAAATGGAAACATTTTGATATTAATTTCATTTTTAAAAAACTCAAGTTTAACCCAAAAAGTAAATTCAACTAATGGCTATTTTATTTACATTGTAAATGGTCAAAGTTAAATATTTGATTATTCAATTGGCTCATATTGAAATCTTTTATTATCATAACCCTGAACTTTAGCCTTTTCCATGATCATGAAATAGTATCACGTTACCAGAATGATTGTCAAAAGATGAACCATTTTCATGTCCATTCATGATGACCATTGTTGTCTTGGTTTTACCTTTTATTATCACCAGTGAATATAAGGCTTGATGTTTGTGTACATAAAATTATAAATTATTGTCAATCCAGATTTTAAGATGAACCAGTCAAGAATAGCTGAATCTCAAGTGTTCAGTTGAATACAGCATTAAAATGTAAACCCACACACAAAACATATTTGTATTAAATGTGGATGAGTATGGAAACTGAAGATGGTTCAATGGTTCAAAGTATCAATTTATTATGAAATTTTCTCATTCCATCAAAAGATAACTATTTTTTCAATTTTTATTAATGATGTTAACTTGAATTTTCATTTTATCCTCTTTTTTACGGATTACAGTTATTGATTATTTTTATGCTGACTTGTTAACCAGAATTGGTGAGTTGATCAATTTTACTGATCAACCTTTTCATCAACAGACTTTACATGATTTTTGGGTTCAATGTTATTAATACAAGTTGATCATTGTTGGTAACTTACAATCAACATTAACCTAATTTTGTGATTTTGTGAGATCATTTTTGCTCCATGTTAACTTGTTGATGTAAAACAAAATCAACTGTACAAGGTAAAAACAAAAACTCAATTATGATATTTAGGTTTTCACTTGAAGTTTAACATGTAAAGTGTATCATCAGTTTGGGTTTCAATTTGATATTCAACGGTACTTTTTCCTTGAACCAGTCTTGTTCCTTGTCTCTATCAAGATGCTCAGATGATATAAACAGGATTGAGTGACACATACAAGACAACCTTTTCCTTTTCCACCTTTCTTTTTGCATCTTTTATACCTTTACTCACCTCATTCAACTTACCCTTTTTACCTTTGTTTTGTCAGTCTATTATTCAGTTTTTTACAGTCGATTTTTTTTACTTTTACCTTTGTCTTTCTTCAGCACAAAAGTTGAATTATGATGAAAGTTCCATTCTGGTTCAAGGAAAGCTTTCAAGATGTTCATGATGATTCTCTTCAACATTTCTTTCTCAATTTTTCTTGCTTTCAGCTTCTTTTAAATGCCATGTAAGGTATAAGAGTAACCATGATTGTTGTGAAGGAAATTTATTGAATTATTACTCCTTTAGATCTTGTTAAACATGTTCAAAAAAGATGGCGAACAATTGTATTTACAAGTTTTCATTTTTAGATTCACACATTAATACAATGCATGATAGTCATTATAACTAACCTTGTGGAATGATGATCAAGCTTCAATTTCGTTCTTGATTTTTTTTCTATCTAAATCTAGAAACTGATACAGCATCTCGATGATGAAGCTTTTACTTAAGATAAAATGGTCACTGATGGTTGTTATGAGGTTCAGAAATTGACACAACTTTTATACAACGGCAATTTTGGTAACTTGTTATCCTTGTAATCGTATGTTTGTTGACCAAATGTTGACCAAATTAACCAAATTGAGAAGTAACCTTTGCTGGTTATCCTTAATGTTTGCACTGAATAAGAGATTGATAACTGACTGTTGGGTTTCGTTTTAATGAATAAAGTTGGGTGATTATGGGTTACATTTAATTTAATGAAAGTGCAAGAGTTGAACGTCTATTAAGCACAAAATGGCCAAAGCCTTTGACTTAAAGGCCAATCAGGATCACTTATAATCTAGAAACCAGAGCCATCTAACGTAATTAACTCATTAACAGTTTTTCCCGCATTTATGATTAATATGTGACTTCTTTATATTAAAAGTGGCTTATTTTTTCACTGATTGTTATTAATAGTTGATTGATAATCCATTTATTTTTTTGTCTTTTATGTCTACAGCCATGGTACTCGTTGTGCTGGTGAAGTTTCTGCTAAACGTGATAATGGAATCTGTGGTGTTGGTGTTGCCTATGATTCAAAGGTGGCTGGCATACGAATGTTGGATCAACCTTATATGACTGATTTAATTGAGGCCAATTCGATGGGCCATGAACCTGATCTCATTGATATTTATAGTGCTAGTTGGGGTCCTACTGATGATGGTAAAACTGTGGATGGACCTAGAAATGCAACCATGAGAGCAATTGTCAGAGGCGTTAATGAGGTACTTTACCTTACAATCAATCATTTTACACGTACACTGTTATGTTTATTCATGTACATATGTATAGTGAACTATTCATTGTACATGTACACTTCACACTGACGTTAATGAAAAGTCTCCTTTTAAAAGAGACACTATTAATCAATTACAAGTTACTCAAACAACTCGAGTTATTGATTTTTTCTCTTCACTCTCTTTCTATTTCTTTCTCCATGTTCAAGAGACTTCTATGCTGACTTTTTCATTCATTTATTGATCTATTTTTGTTATTTCTTTCTTTCTTCGCTTAGGGGAGAAAAGGTTTAGGTAATATTTACGTTTGGGCATCAGGTGATGGTGGTCAAGATGATGATTGTAATTGTGATGGTTATGCGGCTTCGATGTGGACTATATCAATTAACTCTGCGATCAACAATGGAGAGAATGCTCACTATGACGAATCTTGTTCATCAACACTAGCATCAACATTTAGTAATGGAGCTAAAGATCCTCATACTGGAGTTGTAAGTGAAAATCAATGCAATCCATTTTAATTTAGCCCAATTGACTCTCTTCTATTGGTTTTATGTATTTAACAGAAAGTTCAGTTTAAATAAGTCTGAGCTCATTTTCCAAGCGAAAAGCTCGATAAAATTCCTATTAAATACAATGTAATAATTAGTGTTATTTTTTTAAGGATAACTGTTTAGATCTTATTGTGGGAAAACATGTCTATTGCCAGTCTTTTCCCACTTTTTCATTCTTATTTCGTATTGATTCATTGTTATCTTCAATTTGATGAATTGATTTTCTTCATCCTAGTCTCTTCCCACACTAAAGTTAATTACTTAGTGTGTGTGCAACAATTTTGGTGAGTTGTTAACCAGAGGAGAAAGGATAAAGAAACTCGGAATCACTGATCAACTCAATAGAGTTGGTATATTGTGAAGCATTACAACATATGGAAATTATTCATTTTTTCTCATTCTCTTAAACGTTTTTTATTTCATTACTTGTCAATATTTTTTCATTCCAATTTCCTTTTATACTTTTAAATTTTTGATTTTAATATATTTTCTCTGATTTCTTTCATTAAGGCAACAACTGATTTATATGGTAAATGCACAAAAACACACTCAGGGACTTCAGCAGCAGCTCCTGAGGCAGCAGGAGTATTCGCCTTGGCTCTAGAGGCTAATCCTAATCTTACATGGAGAGATATTCAACATTTAACAGTTTTAACATCTAAACGAAACTCATTGTATGATAGTAAAAATCGTTTTCATTGGAATATGAATGGAGTGGGACTTGAATTCAATCATCTTTTTGGTTTTGGTGTTTTGGATGCTGGTGCTATGGTTGCCTTGGCTAGTATCTGGAAAACTGTTCCACCTCGTTACCACTGTGAAGCTGGTTCTATACAGAAAACTATTCCGATTCCCAGCAATGAAAGTCTTTTCCTCCATATTGATACCAGTTCTTGTGCTGGAAAAGATTCAGAAGTTAATTACATCGAACATATTCAAGCTGTTATAACATTAAATTCAACTCGCCGTGGAGATGTTACCCTGTTTCTTATATCTCCTATGGGCACAAGGTAGTAATTTTATCAATCAAACCAAAATTAGATGCATTAGAAAATTCTTTCAGATAAATTGATTAGTTTTTTTGTATTAAATGTTGATTCGTGGGGATGTAACTGAGACTGAAAAGATTTTTTGTCAGGTAGTAAGTCAGAATTCTATTATACTACAATATTTAGTTGGAGTGACTTCCTTGTTTTAAATATTGTCTGACATTTTAAAAGATTGAAGTAACGAGACAACTTAACTTGTAGTAAACCTGGCTTCAATCTGTTAGATTTTATTCTGAGAAAGACTTTTCCTTGTTAGTTTACCTTCTTTCAAGCCTCATTTACTCTATTTTTGCTGTGTAAATATTGGATAACCTGAGTGAATGTACTAATCATTAAGCTAACATCAATATGTTTGTTGTCGCTTGTTTTCCAAATATTTTAGATCAATGATTTTGAGTCGACGTCCAAAGGATGATGATTCTCGTGATGGTTTTACCAAATGGCCATTCATGACAACACACACTTGGAGTGAAAATCCTCGAGGTCGTTGGACATTGGAGATTAAGTTTGATGGAGACAAACCACAAAAGGGTTTCTTCAAGGAATGGACTTTAATGGTCCATGGAGCCAAAGAGCCACCTTACAAAGATTTACCCGTTTTGGACAAAAATTCAAAGCTGGCCATCGTTAAAAAGGCTCATGAACTGGCTTTTACCCATTAAACAACAAAATTCCTTTTTTCTTTCTCATCAAGAATCGCTGAACAAAATGATAAATATATAAGAATGTATATTTCTATGTGAAAAGATATCAAGAAACCCTGAAAGGCAAAAGAACCAAGGAAAAAGTTAATCAATCACAGAGAATAATATAAATTTTGAGTATCGATGAAAACAAATGTGAAAACTGTCAAAATCAAGTCCAGTAACAATCAAGAGTGAGATAATTTGATCTTCCCCTTTTGTTTTTGCTTTTGTTTTATTCAAGGGAAAATCTTATAACCCATTTATGACGTTTAAAGTGTAAACAGCAAAACATGAAATTCAGCTCCTACTCCTCCTGATTTCCGAAACATTCCGTTATTTTTCAACCTTCTGATGTTCATCATCATTCACTTTTCACTTTTATTCTTAAGAAACAAAAGACGAAACAATTACATATTTGATAATCAAGAAGGAGACGGAAAGGAGACTCAAAGTGATAACTGAGAGAAATGGCGAAAAGAATGGAAAATTCATTGCAATCAACAAGTCTCCTAATTTCAAGTCAAAGCCTATTCTAACATTCTGACTCTCAATTATATTAATTATCTTAATATTATTATTATGATGATGATTATTACTATTAATTTGTTATTTACCGTTAATTATGTTCCACAGAAACAAAGAAAAAAATATATAAATGGCGTTCATGTTGATATTTTTCTTTCTCCGATCTAGTCTTTTGATTAAAAATTATTTCAAAACGAGATCTTGATTGATTGATTTATAATTTGGATTTCCACTGATCAAATAAATGTTTAATTTGTTAATTCTTGACACCCATTGATGAAACCCTCGACAGTTTTTCACCACCCACCCTCCCCTATCGATTGACACCTGGTTCATCTAAATCCCTTTTTAAGGTAAGTGGTGGTGTTCCCTTGTAAATGCTGAATACTCTCATTCAACAATTCATCACAGAACTAATTTTAAAATAAGCATCTATTTGTATTTTCAAAGTTAATTTGTCTGATTATTTAATCATGCATTTGTTTTAATTACAAAGTATTTTTCCCTCAATGTTTGCCTCTTTTCCAATTACAGATGATTAAAATAAATGAAACGTTGACATGTTCAAAAGTAAACTTCTCGTTTTGTTTGCAAGAGGTAAATGAAGAGATAGAAAACAATTCGGAGCAAATAATTTTCTATTATAAATTTTATATTCTTTTTTGGTGTTTTCATCAATTATTTTTCTTTATCAATATTCAGAATAATTCACTTCTAATCTAAATCTTCACTTTGCTGAAGATTTTGTCTTGCAGATAATGATGTTCTACTATTGTTAGCTGATTGCTCAGCTGATCCGCTAGCAGTGTTTACACCGGTGCTTGATGAATCACCACCATCTTCATCATCATTACTATCATCATCATTGTCTTCAACAAATGATTGTAAAAAATTACTCAGGAAACCTCCAAATCCTCCACGATTACTATGCACTGGCCTGATACCAAAGTATAATTCACCAATTCGTTGAAGGTACTCTTTATAAGCTGGATCTCGATTCAAAACTGGTCCATATTTGTCAAGAAGTACATTGAAAGTTGATGTTTTACCTCTGTAATCAGAATGAGAATGAAATTTTAGAATTGAGGTTTTGAAATTGACAATGAAATATTAATCTTACCCTTCAATAGCTATAAGCAGAAACCATAAGAAATTGATCAATGGAAGAGTTGAGGGAGGGTCACTTTTGCTGATTAGCGGATGCTTGGCTAGGTAGTGTTGTAAAATTACGATGGCATAGGCGTGCTGATTTGATTTGGGAGAAATGTTGTTGAGGTTGCAGTTATGGCTTATATCACTGGAAGTCGAGGAAGAAGAGGCAACATCAGAAGAGCTTAAGGATGAAGTTAATGGTTGCTTAATCTCTTCTATGTTGGCAGAGCTACTAGTTTTTATACACAATAATTGTAAAATAAATTGAGCTATGAACAAGTCAGCCTCGGATTTGTAGCCAGAGTCGACATGGTATTCGATTAACATAAGAGCACAGTCTTCTCCACAAGTATAGCTAGCATGAAGAAAATGTTTACGAGAGTCGACATAGTTTTTTTCTTTCCATAAAATTAGCGCAAATTGCCGACGAATACGTTGCATTGGGAAAATTTTTGAATTCAATTTTAATACTTCTCCAGTGTATTTCATTCGCTCAGGTGTATCAGCTGGAATACGTGACAAAAGTTCTCCTATACGTATGGACAGATTGTTTGCTTCTTGCTCATCCTTCATAGCTGTAAAAACAAATAAAAACATTAGCTACAAATATTTATAATATTCAGGCCCGGAATACTCGAGAAATAGATGTAGGTGCAATGATTCAACCTAAATTCAACACCAATAATTGGCAGAACTAAAAGCAACATTACAAAGATCACCGTGACATTAAATAATACAAGGAAATTTTGAAATAAATGATTGACTGGAACATCATTTTTTCCCTGTCCAGACTAGAGGTGTATTCATTCATGTGGCTTGAAATAATTAACAAAAATGGATGATACTATAATAGTGAATCACCACCCAACATTCATTAGGGAGCAACCAAATTATGCCACAGTATGGTTAATTTTTAAGGACAACCGGCTCTGAGATGAAACATAGAAGAGAAGCGATTGCAATTCATTACCTTCTTTCATATCCGTATCTTTACTCAATGTGTCAATGAAAAGGTTGGCAAGATCGGCACCAGAATTGTGTTGCTGTCGATCAAGCAGAAGAATAGCACCATCATAGAGAAGATTTTCCAAATCTTTAAACCTTCGAGAATTGACATAGCGAAAGTGTAAGGTTCGATACATCTGGTGGGCTTCATAATATTCACTAGACTCTATTAACTTGGTTAATTTTGAGCGTATCCTTTCTGAACCATGCGTTGCTCGTAAAGAAGACATTTTGTAGCCGATCTGTAAAAACACGGATTGAAAAAGGATTCACGATCAGCAAAACAATCCACAAGTGGAAAAACGATTCACAGTACAAATCTTCCGCTTACCAGAAAAAATTTTACTCAAACCAAATCAAGATGAAACCAAAACTACTAGTTAATAATGAGAAAAAACAAGATAATAGAAGAATCAACAAATCCAATTTATTTTCACAACCAAATCTTGTTTAACCATAGCACAGGGCGGGATCAATATCTATTACGTCACCAGTAAATGCCTTTAATGCTTTTTGTTCAAATTATGCCTTTTCAATTTGAGTCAATTCCAGTGAAAATACAATACTTGATGAACATTTTAAACTGTGTAAAATGATTTATTTTGTTTATTGAAAAGCTATTGATTCAATTAACTTATGAATTTTGATGATACCTTCAAGATCTGTCGATTAATTTAATTTAATTATCTTTTATGTTTGAAAAGTGCGCTTCATTTTGACTGGTGATTGATGTTGTCTTGGTTTCAATAAACAGACAAGTTTTTATTTTGAATGGTAAATAAATGTACTTTGAAATGTTCAATGAATATTGTTCATTACAATCAGCATGAGTTTATCTTCAGCTGAGGAACATGGAGTCCGTTCAATTCTTGGAATGATTCCTCAATATGATCTAATACCTCTTGTATCAACTTTAACGAATGGACTCGTTAAAGTTAATAATGTCGAAGGTAAGTGATTACTTTTGTGATTCAATTAATTATGAATAACTTTTTGTTATGTTTCATTTCAGATGCCATTCAATCTTTATTAAAGTATTGTAAAGACTCTCTTGATATCCTCAAGCGCAAAAAAATAACTAAAGACGTACTATTCAAATACTTGAAGGAATCAAATGTTGATGTTTCGCCAAGATGTGATAAAGCAGAGTTAATTCATAAATGTATGAGCCATTGGAAAGTCTCCTCGATTACAACTGAGGTAACTGGATAATTTCAAAACAATTGATTCTCATTTTGACTTTAATAATAGGCAATCGACTGGGAGATGGCCGAAATGGATACTTCAATCGAAGCGCCTGAGTTCATTTTGCAGCCCTTTAGTTTAACTACCGAAGCATTGATGTCAATGGGACTCAACTTTGCTCAATGGTTTTACAACCTACTCAACGATGTTAACACTGACTCAGTTTTTGGACCACAGCACTTTTGGTCTGATTCTATATGCAATACTACAATCTCCAATGGTAATGGACAAGATATGTGCCTATCCGTGACTGGGGCTGTTGAAACTGTTGAAGCAATCAGACGTGCGGTTAATCATTTCCAATATCGTTTTGAGCCCAATTTATACAAAGATGTTAAATGTGACATGGACGGTCATGGACTGGTTAAAATTTGTGTCAATGGCGTAATATACAAACACAATCAACCTGACGGAGTCTTCGAGAGCTCATTTGGTCTTATTAAAGACCCAGCCGCCTGTGATAGCAATTGGAAAATAAAATATTTAGAAATGCGTTGGAAAGTTAATTCTGTTTACACATATCAGATTGCTTAGATTTTGTGAATTTATTTCTGGATATTCACTCTATATGTGAGGCGATTACTAACTGTTAGGCTAACCTCTTTGAATTAAACTGTAAATTCGAATGAATCATCATTTGCAGATAAAATTCATCTTCATATGATCTTCATAATTTTGAGCATTTACTTTGTAAATATTAAGTTATATATAAAACTAATTATCATAAATTAACTATGCTTCTCCTATTTGAGCCAATTTCAATGATTTTAATAATCCACTTAATAAATATTTTTCCGTATTTCGATTATTTTTTCCTAAATTAGACTGCTATTGGTGTTTTATTTCCCGAATTGAATAAGGCAAAGCTTTTATGTCTGTCAATTCAATCTGTCATCAATATTTGAAAAGTGCGCTTCATTTTTGCTGAATGTTAGTGTTGTCTTGGTTTCAATAAACAGCCTCTTTTCAAGTTGTCTTATTTTAAATGATAAATACTTTCAACATCAGTTTATACAATCGATAAACATTCATTTTAATCATCATCCCTGTTACCTGGTGAACCCATCTGCTCGCTGAGCAAACTGTGTCATTAAATTGAAACGCGTATCATTCCGCTCAGTTTGAATTTGGTATTGATCTCTTCATTTTTCAACTTAAACCAGTGTTCTAATCATTCGCTTAACGGAAATCTTTAATCTTTTGTCAAATGTGATCTACTTTTCTTTTACAAGTGATCTTTTCTTGTTTTGCTTTGGGTTTGTCACTTTTTTCCAACAATTTGTCAATTGTCTAGAAAGTTTGCTTATTGAATTGAATTGATCAAGATGCCTGGAGTTGTAAGTATCTAAACTCTTTGTTTGCGTTACTCAAGAAAATTCATTATCACATAATTAATGTTTTTTATCTTTGTGTTCTTCAGGGATCTGAAATTGGATTTGCTACCTTACCACATCATTTACACCGAAAATATGCCAAAAAAGGCTTTGATTTCACGATCATGGTTGTTGGTACGTAATATTCATTTGTAATTTTTACTGAGTTCTATCAATTACCTTCAAGTTGCTCTTATTTGGATGTGATTACACCCTTTAATCTATATTGATCCTTTTCTGCCACTTATGCTTTATACAATCATCGCCGAGGTAAACAATCAAGATATGAGATTTAGTTTCATCAAGCAGTATTGAAAATGATAGATTGTAAATAATATTTATAAGTCATAATTTTATTACATATAATTTAGATGCAGTGTAAACATCACTATTGTACATTTATAATATTAGACATTATTTATACTTATTTAATTTAATTTTTATATTTCAGGTGAATCTGGACTTGGAAAATCTACACTAATCAATTGCTTATTCTTAGCTGATCTCTACAAAGATCGAGTTAATCCCCCGGTTGAACAACTTTTAAATCGGACAATGGTTGTTGAAAAGAAACAATTAGATATCATTGAAAAAGGGATTAAACTAAAAGTAACCATTGTTGACACACCTGGATTCGCTGATGCTTTGAATACTGAAAACAGCTTTGATGCGATTGAAGGATTCATTGATGAACAGTATGATCAATACTTCAAAGATGAATCAGGACTGAATCGAAAAAACATTATCGACAATCGTGTTCATTGCTGCTTATATTTCATTTCCCCTATTGGCCGAGGGTGAGTTGCTTAACTTTAAAATTGAAACAATTGGTCCCAAGCAAGTTAACCTAAAAATGTTACCCAAATCAAGTTGCCATAAATCACGATATTTTGGTATCGGATATATAATCTGGTTTGATTAATATCAACTCAGAACATTTTACGGCCCACATTGAAAACAGTTTCCCAAACCCGTTGACATACATCTTCAAGTCATTAAACTTGTCCCTAGTTAGTCTCTCATATTGGACAACAAAGTTTCGGAAATTAATTGTCCAACCAAATTAATTTCATTCAGGTTAAAATACTTTTTCTATCAACTGTGTGATCTCATTTTTAACTGTAATGATCAATCCAATTATGTTGCTTGTTTCCAAATTGCTTTTAACAAAAACTTGACATTCAGGTAGCAACATTACTAGCCTCCTCTAAAAGTTGCCCTGATCCACAAAAGGAAATATCCCAATCAGGACAAGACTATGAGCCCGTTACCATTATTATAAGTTATTCAAGATGATTGAATCAAAAATGATCAACATGGTTATTAATGTGACTATAAATTTACTTTACTTGCTATTTTAATATTTTATTTAGTCAATTTTACTAAATTTTCCGATTAATCTTATCCTGAAAAGAGCGCCAGTCATTATGCTAATCATCTAATACCAAGAAACTAATTTCAAACCATTTCATGTATTATTATAACTAATAATGTTCTGCTAAAATTTGATTGATTTATTTAATCAAAAACCAAAAGCCGTATCAATCATGAAAATTCAACTAAACTTTGCATAACTCTTCATTTCTGACTTGCATATTGAAAAGTAATTTATCAATTCAACTTTATTAATTTAACTAAAGGTATTTTTATTTACTATTAATGTGACTTTAATAGTGAAGCAAAAGAATCATTTTCAACCTTCAGATATTACTCTTCATTTTAATTAAGGTTAATAACTCACTGAGTTATGAGATAATTAACTGAACTATTAAGATTCACCTTGTCCCTTTGAATCAACTACAGACATAAATTAGTTCTTATCATTCAATTAACCAAATAAATTTAATGTTTAACAAAATTATACTCAATGGTGGTAATAATTTACAATAGATGTCACTACAACATCCAATACTGACTTCAAATCTAAACGATTATCATTTGTAATTATTTTCAATCATTCATCTGATTGTAATTAGTCTTTTAATTGTTACTCTCCTACAATACTAAAAATTATATTCCTATTGACTTCACATGATAATTTCCGTCTTTAACACTCTAATGAATTGGCCTTTCACCAGCTTCAACTTGAACTGAAATTATCTTAAACATTAACAAATTAATTGAAAATAATTAATGAGGATAAACTTGTGATAATCATTCATCAAACTTTGTTAATTTTCATTATTAATTGTTATCTTCTTTGCTATTCTTGAATAACTTTACGTCAAAATGGTTTCACAGAGTTTCATGTTTTCACTCTTTAATTCTGAATATTAATTGAAACGGATACCCTGTTTTTGATTGATTTCCGTCTCTTTTCTCACTTTCTTAATTTGTCAGAACAATTATGATAATATTAATAATTATAAGCATCATCATTATTTATCAGCATTATTCCCTATTCACAATTCATAGTTAATATTCAAACTTTTATAATATTTCACACTCTAAGACATTGACTCAACTCTATTTAAATGGATTATTCAAGTTCCTTCCTTCCTCTCATGCCAACGGAATACAATTCATTTCAACAATCAATCTGATCATTAATTGTGTTCCGTTTATTGAAAAGTAAAGGCATAATAAGAATAAGAAACTGAAAGAAACAAAAAAATGAATTTGATTGATTAACTTCACTTTAAATTAATCAAATTTTAATTGACAAAATTGAGCCTCTCAACATTCAGTGAAATTGAAGCTGATAAAATCAAATGCAAGTAAACTGACCATAACAATGATAATGATAATAAAAATAATGATAATAGTTATGATAGTAATATCAATGATACAGGGAATGTTGATGTGCAATATTTTCAATAAAAAAAGCAATCATGATTCGAATAATATTATTTGTTGAATGAAAAGTTTCCAGTTTCAAGACTGAACACACAGATAGAGCATCTATTGAAATGCTTTGCTCAGCTGATGATAAAAACGATTCCAGGAAAACTGATAGAGTCAACGAAAGGGAAGAATAAAAAAAAGAGTAAACTTTTATACCAAAGTAAACCATTCAATTTAATCGAGATCATAATTTTTTTCCCTGCTGCTTGTATTTAACCTGAACAAGAAGCAAAAGCAAGAGTAAAAATTGTCTTCCTTCTCACCCTTCATTGTGATGATGAGCTGTAACCTTATCATCATCATCTCTTTACCTAAATATTGTTGTTTCTTCCCTTCTTTTACCCTGCTGCTAGTTTATTGGAAAAGGATATTTGATTTATCAGCACACTGAGTGAAACTGTGAGTAGCCAAAGAAACGAAATCGAAATGTCCAACATTTTCGATTCTCATCTTTCTTCTTCTCAACATTTTCCTGTATCCACTTTTATCTTCCTCATCAGAATATAAATTGAACATTTTGTCAATTCTCAGCACATATCACAAACGACATGTTGATAACATTAAAATATACCTCTGTCCTCGTTAACTCTTTAACTGTTATTTTTTACATTCCCAAAAAACTCTTGTTCAAGTTGAACTCCCTGTGATTCCAGTTTTTATCATTCCAAATATTTTCCATGTTTCCATTCATTTGACACCTTTAAACAATCATTTTATTCACTCTAACTCGATAACACAAATAGACTATAAAAAAATGGTTTAAACTATTTACTTGGAAAAATCAAGAAATTCATTCTGATTGGATCATAATTTGATGAATATTATCAAAAGATAATCAGCTAATTATTCACTTTGAATTTGCATAACTTGACTTTTATCAAATTAAACAAATTAGACAAGCAAATGAATTTAATCGCAAATTCAATGAGCTCATTGCTTCAGATCAATGATTTATACAAACAAATGAATTTATCATGACTTTATCAGGTAACCTTAGAATAATAATTGAGATGAAATTATTTCTCTATAATAATGAGAATCAGCTACAAATTGAACTTTACCATTAACAATATGACATTGTTAACAGTATTATCATCTTGTTAGTTAAAGACAAGATAAAAAGGTTTCAAGAATAAACCTAATTCAAGCTCAATATTGGATCCAATTATATTCACCAGAAGAAACTGGCTGATATTAGAGTGAAAAAAGGAGTATTACTTGTTATTCATTTGAACATTCAATTCAATTACAATCGATTCTCCTGATTCTAATATTAATCTGACTTGCTTTTCCCTATTTTTCCTATTATTATCAACCTTAACAGGGTTACATTTCATTAATGTTTATTATCAAGCAAAACCACTGTTGGTAAAAAGTAAAAACATTCAATTTTCTGGTTAATCTTTTTTGAAACCCGAAAATGAAATCACTGGGAATTATCATTGTAATTATGTTAATTTTGATTCGCTCATTTTGAGCAGAAAATTCAAATCTTTTCGCCAATTGATTTACAATATTTGCCTTCATTGAAGTCAATATTAATTGGCTTATTTTCATCCATATTTCACTCAAAATTTAACCATTTTTAATCATTTCCAATATTTGGCTTGACAATTTGAAACCTAACAAAGTTAGTCAATGGTTAACCGTCAGATTGAGGATTATTATTATTTATCAACAGCAAAATTATTAATTCAATCTTTCATTTCAACTCCTGTTCAGTTGTAATAAGATTTATTTCTCTTCGTTTTTTTCTTGCTTTCAATATCATTTATATCTTGTTCTGTTCATTGAATTTAACTCTCAGTTAATCCGATTATTTATTTTTCCCTGATCATGTTCACTCAGTTAAACTGTTAATTGCTGGTTTAATTTATTCTCGACTAATCTTCTTGCCAATATTTAATGTTATAAATCAGTTTGTTACTTTTCCAGATTCATCAATACCAATTGTTGAAAGAATCAGAACATAAAACTCAGAATTACATGAAAGGTTTAAATCGCAATTTACCTTTACATCTGTAAGAAGGTTTATCATTTCTCATGACTTTTCCATTGAAAATTTTCTCCAATTTCTCGTTAATTAACCATTCCATTCAAGATTGAAAATCTGTTGATCATTTAATGACGATTTAGTCGCTCATTCCTTTTCAAATTTTGCTTCATTAATGAACATTTTCAATTTAATCAACCAAAATAGATTGTAATTTTCAAGAAAAAGTTGATTAATTCCTTGCCATAAATCACTTTTTGTTCATCTTCTGTAAAGTTTTAAAACTCAATTGAACTTCTTAACCTTTTTGTCAAAAATCAAGACAAATAATCATTGATGTTATACAAGTCAACGATTATTATCAGCTATAACTGTTTGATTGGTTTGACAATTACTTTAACAGCTTCTCGTTTCCCAATTTAATTTCAATCAGAATCACTCCCAGCCTTTCATCTAACCCATTAGAAACATTTTATTGTTTTTATCGATTCTTCATCAACTCGATAACCTAAAAAATCTTTACCAATTTAACAACCAAACACAATTTGAAACCTTTATCACTTTGTATCCACTAAACCAAACGATTTGTTGATAAACTTGAACATTATCAACATTCAACTCCCAATCATAATTTAGCTCTTCTCTTAATTCCTGATGAAACTTTCATTCAAATGCATTTCTATTTCATTGAACTTCCAACTTTCCATTGCTAATCAAAATGATTAACCAATGTAAATAGAAATCAACATTTTCTTCAATAACTTATATTGACTCAGCTATAAGTGGCATCATTTTTGGCACTTTACCTGAAACTGAATCTTAATCTTTGACTCAAATTGATTCGCCAAATGCTTTAAAACCTTTAAATATAAAAATAAATGTTTTACTCAAACTTTTAGTTCAATATTCAGAGTCTTCTTCATCTCTGTATTTACTTTTACCAAACAATTTGTTTACCTT